TTAACTAGATGTAACTAATGCTCCTCCCGATGCATATGTGTCTATACATATATGTAAATTGCAGTTTAGGTTTGTATTGAAGCATGGAGATCATATTCTCCATTAAGATGACCTTTGTCAGGTAGTACGTCATGCTAACAACTGATTTCAGCCTTTTCTTCAAGATTGGATAGTTTTAAAGGCCATTCTCCCAGGAGAAATACCGAAACCTGAATGGTCTACTAGCTAGTTGCTAGGATGGACTTTGAAGCCAGTCTTAAAATTAAGCTATTCAATTCACCCCTGTATGGCAATGTGATACACACACAGCTTAGGAAGAGAATACTGATTAATCGATGTCATTGTGGTGTCGATTTTACATTTGTTATCTTTCTTAACTATAATTCCATTGGCTTAATGAACTTTTTTAAGTTTTATATAAATTATTCAACAAGTTCATGTGTGATCAATCAGATTGTCCGAAATGTATAGTGAATTTCGTCTCGTTTGGCACTCGTCAGCCGGATGTTAAACAAAACACTCAGCTATCTTCTCCACATCTGCGCAGTAAACAATGAGCCACACCTATTGTGTCAGGGCTGATAATACTAACGGATCTGTACTGTTGTATAGCTGAGATATGGCAGTTGAAAGTAGGAGACAAAAAATGGTTACAGTTTTTCGATAATATATGTCTTTGTAGCTCGCGTTTAGTGGAATCATCCTGTCACCTCATATTCACTTTGTTTTTATTGATAGTAAAATTTTTCATATCTTTAGTACAGATGTTGTGTCATTTCTATTATGTGTTGATTCGATGAACAAAGATTCAGAAACGCAAGTGAATTGATGAGGTTGTGAATCTTGGTCGACTGAGATGGCTTGGATATGTGTTGTGCATGCCAAGTCGCCGCCTACCTCGACATACCATGCCAGGAAAAGTTGAATTATGATGGAAAAGGATTCAGGTTGATCAGATCAAGGCATGGGAGGAGGTTAGGAGAATGGTTGCTTGACTAAATCAACGTAGAACTTCGCACAGATGCTTAATTCGCCACATGTTTAAGTTGCTTTCGCTTTTCATCGTGGTCAGTGCCAGCTAGAAACAGTCTTCCCGCATCAATCAGTTAGTATGACGATGCAAAAATCCAATGACATTTGCTAACCTTCGAGTGTAGGTTACCGGTCATCTTTACCGCTGTTCGTAAAGGAGACTTAATATCATGCAACGCCAGGATTTCTCAAAGTCAGCATTGCTGTCATGTCCGGATAAATGCTTAGTTATTTCTTCCCTAAATTTGGTCTTGATATTCTTATATTCTAATCTGCCATAGACAGGTTTTCCTAATGCCTCTTTCCTGCAACAAGTAAGGCGCATACATATACGAACTTGTACTACAGCGTGAACGGAGCCCAAACTGGTACGCCAGAAAAAGCGGCAATCTCTAACTGATCCTGTCCAACGGTGACTTTTGGCAATGTGAGCTATCTGTGTCCGTTGTCGGTTTAATGTCAGCGGATAAGATGTGAGACAGTGTCTATCCTTATGCCTTAAGTTAGTGCTGTTCAGAAACAAGTGATCCTCGGAGCGAATTGCACCAAACGATCACTATTGTCGGTTCGTTGGCATAGGATTCCGTATACACCCTCAAGATGCCTTCAGCTTGAGCATTAAAGTTACCTGCCACAATAACTGTACCTGAACGTTTTGATTTCTGTAGCAAAGTTGACAGCCTATCATAAAATTCATCCTTTGCGTCACCCTAACTGCAGTCAGTGGGTGTGAAGTTGAAGATTATGAATTTCCACCGACTTGTCTCACGATCCTTCCTAGTCCTTACTGATCAATTCAGTCGAGGAGCGCACTTTCTGCTCTACAACTCAATGGTATATCTGCATCAGTGAGTCCATGAGATCTCCGGATACTCTTTACTTGAATTTTGAAGATTCACCATTTTGGTCAGGTGAGACTAATCTAATAACCGCACTCAGGCCCTGTATACGTGTCTCAGAGACAAAGCACACATCCATGACTCGAGATACCGGTTTTGGTGACCGATGCTTGCTGTCCTGTTTGGCACAGAGTTTGGACGTTGAAATCGATAGCAGGATCTTAAGAGACTAGGAATGAGGTTTCGATAGCTTTGATCGTTAGCGATGGCCGAAGAATGAGGTTGGGTAAGGTGTAAGAGGCTCGATACTAGTATCAGGAAGTGAAAGCAAGGGAGGAAAAGTTATGTTCGACTATGTCTTGTGTACTAATGGAAGCGTACAGGTGGTTGACACTTCTCGGCTGCTCACAACATGGGAAGGTATTTTTCTAAAGGTACCAGAAAGAGGAAAAGATTTATGACCACAGAGCCCATGGGACATCTGCTTGAGGCCTGTCACACGTCCTTCTGTAGGTTGTTTTGAGGTTTCGTTGTTCTGACGCCAACTAGATAAAACCCATACCGCTGATAACGGAAGGCTGTAGGGCAGAAAGGAGTGTGCTACTTCTGCAGCCGACCTCTAGCACCCCCCCTCCCACCTTCCCGTAGGGAACACATCAGCGTGGCACTGCTGGCCATCCAAGGGAAACACCTTACCGCTGTCACGCTCCTGCCAGCCAGTAATGTGACTTCGCTCTCAGACCCCCATCAGGATGTAGTAATTTACACTACAAAGGTAACTGCTTTTCGTCTTGCCACTATTCAACAGACCTTTGTGACATGGTAGAACCTAGACTGGAGGTGTAGTTTGACAGCCCAGCTGACAAGGAGCTGGTGGTGCAGCAGTTCCGGAGCACAAAACTTAGACCAGACGAAGATTTGCTGATATTAGCCGAAGATAGTTGAAAAATCTAATTCACCAAGCACTTTCTATTCTAAATCAGGACTCCCGGGCACAGTTACTGGCTGCACAGTTCACCAAAAGTATCTCGAATGCCACTGCCTAACATAGCCAAGTAATGATAAGATTTATAACACGGAGAATACGGAGAACACGGAGAATACCGTATCACTTAGAAGTTGGGCGCCAGGTCCAGAAAATGCTAAATGAAAACATTATTGAAAAGGTTGATAGCCCATACAGTTCGCCAGTGCTTTTAGTAAGAAAATCCAATGGGAAATACAGATTCTTTATTGATTTCTTAGAGTTAAGTACCATAACGCAAATGAAGCGCTGTGCCATGCCAACGGTAGCCGAAACACTGGATAGTTTGCAGAATGCAAAATAATTTACAGTTTTAGACCCCCGCTCAGGTTACTAGCAGCAACCAATAGAAGAAAGTGATAAGGAGAAAACAGTATTTATTGTGGGCAAAAAACAATACCAATTCAAACGAACGCCATTTGGTCTTTTAGACGCACCATTTACATTTAGACGGTTTGATGATGACATTGTTGAAGAACTTATAGAACGTAGAGGTGTATGGTGACGATCAAATGTAGTATTGTCAGACAAAAGCCAAACATCTAGAACAGATGGAAACTATTTTAAGATGTAGTGATGAGTCTGGACTTCGCATCAATAAAACAAAATCTCAGATATACAAGAAACGTTTTACATTACTAGGACACAAAGTTGGAAACGGTGAAATAAAATCACTACCTGAGAAAATCCTGAAGGTTAAAACCATTCCAGCGACGAATTCAAAGAAAAAACTGTGACAATTCTTGGGTAGAGTAACATTCTACAGTCGGTTCCTCAAATGTTTCAACGAGATAGCAGCACTTTTATATAAACTACTCGGTAACACCAAATCCACGTGGACAGAGGAGGCACAGAAAACACTTGATAACACTGAGGAACTCCTAAATGACCAAGAGATGAATTTAAAACTACCAATACCCCGGAGGTCATCCATTGTGCCAACCGATGGAAGTGATTATGGAATAGGCGCAGTTCTGAGTCAGACTGAAGGAGTAGTGGTGTATGCCAGCTGTGTGCTGACACCTGCAGAACAGAAATATTCCACGGTTGAAAGGGAATATCTAGCGATAGTTTAGGCGCTTGATTTATAGAGATCGTACCTCCTCGGTCAATGATTCCACATTGAAACTGATCATGAACCTCTACAGTGGTTAAAGACAGCCAGAGACCCCAGGAGGGTGTTACAACTCCAAGAGTATGATTCCGCAATCGGTTACATTGCAGGGAAGGATAATTGATTGTTGGGCTTCTTGTCGAGATCAGACAAAGAAAATGAACTACCTGAGATCGTATACAGTGTACATGCAGTAGAACAGGACGTATCAAGACTTATTCGCCTTCCATAGTCAGACCCTACACTTAAGGCAATGACAAAAGTCATAACTGAAGGAATGGATACAAACAAGTCTGGAGGAAATAGAGTTAAAAAGGTTGTTAGCATAGAAAGATCATCTAAGGTTGAAGACTTATGGAGTTCTGACTTAACAAAAAAAGACGGGAGCTGATTGGCAGTGATTGCGGAATGCCTAAGCGACGAAATGATAAAGGATGCCACCAGTTAGCTCATACAGGTGATTTTGCAAGACAAAGTGCATACTGGCTAGGTATGAGAGGTATTGCCAAATACGTTCTGAGCTGTCCACACTGTCAGTTGATGAAAGGTGACCGGTATACAAGACAGCCATTTCAGGCGATTCCAGTAGCAGCAGTTGATGACCTATGGCCTGTGGACATAATGAGACCATTCCCGCAAACATCTATTTGCAACCAGTAACTTGTGGTGATGACACAGTATGCTAATATGATGGGTAGACGCGCGAAGAAAGTAATGTACGAATTGTCATCGTAAACAATCCTTCTGTGCTCCACTGTATCCCCCCCCTTCTTTCCTTCAAGTTCATTAAAATTTTCTCACTTAGGTAAGCGTAACCAGGCTTTATATTTTCTACTACACACTAGAAACCATCGCACGAAAAACAGCTCTATGTTGAAACATACAGTAAAACTACGATAAAGTGTTGCTGTGCAATAAGTACATCCTGTGATTTAAAAAAAATTAAATACTGTACAGAAAATGAATGAATGAAAATCGTTCAATGAACAAGTTATGATTTCCCTTCTTCTGATGCCTTTTTTAAGGCAGAACCAATACCGAGACGTTCGAGTTCTTCAGTCAGTTTGCCAGAACGATGCATATCTAAAACAATATCACATCCACCAATGAATTCTCCATCAAAGTATACTTGAGGGAAAGTTGGCCAATCGGCAAACACCTTAGCACCAGTTCGTAAATCTTCACTCTCCAAAACATCATATGATGAGAATAGTTTTGGATCATCGCCTTTTCTTGCTTTCTCCAGTATTCCATGCATTTCAAGTATACGGCAAACAGCATTACTGAAACCACAGCGAGGTTCATTAGGATTTCCTTTCATAAAAAGCACAATACGACTACTTTTGACTAGCTCAGCAACATGATCTTCAGGTTTACCTTTGTCAGATGTACATAACTGTCGATGATTCTTGATGCTGAATTGTTTGACAGTTGTCAGGGTTATAGGATATAAAGCGTTTCGACTTTGTAAAGGCTTGAAAATATAATACAGTAATTCTAATTAGCATTACTGTATGTAACATATAGCTGTTAAATCAGTGCAATTCAGAACGAAAACACCTAGTTTGGATGAGAAGCTACTCAAAAATAACAGAGACCATCCAACACTCATCATCATAAAAAGACAGCCCGATCATATAATTATACTAAAACAGTAGATATCAGCGATGGATAGATGCGTTTCGTCTCACGTGAGACTCGTCAGCTGGATGTACCTGCCTCGCAATGATGTTGCTACCGCCGAAATTCGAAAACCGGGGGAATCGCTGCAAACATTATAGGGTTATACACAGAGTCACTGAGTCACGATAGTCACCGTTCGTACGAAAGTTGTAGCATAATTTTCATACCATAGTTTATAACCCATCCCTCCAAAACAGGGTGAACTGCGCATCTTGGATTTTTCTGCTAGCCATTATCCACCATTAATATCTAAGCTAAAAATCTCGACAACATCGAGACAACTGCAAAGGAGTCCATATACCAATAGTGGGCGACTTACAAGTTAGAGTATGAGACAGAATACTTCGGAAAGTTTGGAATCAACAGATGAATAGTCCTCCAGACGATTCTCATCATCTCTGACTGTTAATAAGGTTCATAAACTTTGTTTATATCGTCGCCAATCAAATACATTGAGATTTTATTATCCGATAAAAGTGCATTAGCAGTAATAAACACTCATATCAAGTAAGTATGCAACAAACGTTTGTGAATACACAGACCCATAACCTCGCGGCATACCAGTGCCGGCGTACTGGGTTCACATTTAGCCTTAAAACCAGTAAACCAAAACCCCAAAAATAGTCGTATGTAACCGGCCTCGACCTGACATTTTTTGGGCTCTGTGGTCACACGCATTGAACTTTCACTTTCGGGTACCTCAAGAAGAAATAGCCTTCCACGGTATGAGCAGTTAGCTCTTAGCGTTAAGTTCAATGGATAAGACAATTGCAGATGAGGTAAGAGCACAGTGTGCCCTAACGCTGAAACGACAGAAGAAAATGAAATCTAAATTACCCAAGTCAGAGAGGGAAGCTCTCAGGAACCTTCAAAATGATAACAATATAGTAATTATCAAATCGAATAAAGGCAACTCAGTAGTTGTAATGAACAAATCTGACTACATCTATTAAGTGAACGAGCATATAGAAACAGGACCATATGAGGAAATTAAGAATAAGGTCAAGAAATCGACAGATGATGTGATACGCCGGATAAGGCCATTTATAGGTGAATCAAAGTGGTTTAATTTAATGCCGAAAACTAATGATCCCAGTAGAAAGTATCGTATTATTAAGAGTCATAAGCTAGGTTATCCCATCAGGCCTATAGTAGATTTTAGAAACACTCCGACTTACCAGTTGTCTAAATATTTAGCAACAGTTTTAGGCCTAATAGGAAATCACTCAAAGTCTCGACTTACCAACTCTTATGACTTAAAGCATAGGTTAGACGACAGTGAAAAAATGGTCAGTTTTGACATAACTAGCCTTTACACAAACATACCGATTGACATGGCTCTGGAGGCAGTTCGAAATGGGCTTAAAGATGACAAAGAACTTACGTAGCGAACTAAGCTGCCAATCGAGGAAATCATACTAGGAGTACGATTATGCCTAACATATACAGTTTTTAAGTTTCAAAATAAAATGTATAAACAAACGGAAGGTGTTGGCATGGGATCACCAATATCCCCCTATCGTCGCACACATATTTATGGATAGTTGGGAACAGGTGGCCCTTCAATCGAAATGATTCTGCATCTGTCCCACATGTACGAAAGATTCTACTACCCTTGTCATTACACAGAAGGAGAGAAAATTAGGAATATATAAAGTCTGTCTGGAAGTTCTGCAGTTAGTTACCTGATATGAATATGGACAATAAATTGTGTCCGAAACGTTATCCAGTAAATGCTACTGTTTCACTGTATGGTATTTCTAATAAACAGACTAAAAAAAAGTGAATCGCCGTAGTTTTTTTTCTCAGCGAACAGAACCAATCGATTTCTTCAGTGGTGCTGACGTACATAGTGCTCCAAATGGACATCTCTCCACACAGGTGTGAATTTCATCTCGACATCATTTATTCGACGATAATTACAGTACATATATATTTCATTCTTCGTGAAATCATTTATTGATATGTTCACATCGAAGCTTCGATATAGCCAGTATTCATTGTATTTTATAAGGTACTAGCCTGTTGTTTATCGTTTATAGATTTAAAGTATGTTCCGCTTACTAGTAAATGTATCACTCTTCATAGAAGTGGCTCACCTGACTTTACATTTCCTTATATCAATCTATTTGATTAATCTAAACAGTTATTATTTTTCTTACTTTAGACTATGGCTGACAAACAATGGGTGAACCGTTTTTCAGCTAGCTTATAACTGTGGTATTTCCCCTTGTAATAATAATGGGGCTGGTTTAAATGTATTCATATGCCATAAGTAGATTATAAAACCTCGCCTGGTTAACTAGTTTACTAGTTACTAGCCGGTCCTAAGCCCGGGTAAAGAGGGAAGGTTGGGCATAGGGCTAGCAACCCTACCCCGTAAAACAAATCTAACCGCTAAAGAAACTTCAAAGCACAAACAAAATATAAAAAATGAAAACAAACTTATTCCCCGCTGGAATCGGAGAGGCGAAATGACGCCAGTTGGTGAAAGCCTTCGGGAAGCCAATTGGCCGATGTGTCTTCTCTCGATGAAAGCGAAAGTAAACGTGGGGACATGGAATGTCCGCACGATGTTTGAACCCAGTAAGGCAGCCCAGATTGCAAAGGAGATGAGAAGGTATAACATCGAAGTGCTTGGGATTTGCGAAAGCAGATGGAATGGGAGTGGACTCTCCAAACTGTCAACTGGAGAATCAATAATCTACTCCGGTCACCCAGACGCCAACCACGAGCACACTGAGGGAGTGGCTATCATGATGTCCTCAAGAGCATCGAAGGCTCTCATGCAGTGGGAACCAATCTCCTCCAGGATCATGACAGCAAGATTCAACTCAAAAGGAAGAAAGGTCACAATCATACAATGTTATGCACCTACAAATAATGCAGAGCAAGAGAAAAAGGAGGAATTCTACAGACAACTTCAATCAACACTGGACAAGACGTCAGTTGGCGATATCAAAATTCTGATGGGCGACATGAATGCCAAACTGGGAGGGGACAACACGGGAAGAGAACTAACCATGGGTCGAGAGGCACTAGGTGAAATGAATGAGAATGGAGAATTGTTTGCAGAATTCTGTGCATTCAACGATTTGGTGATTGGAGGCAGTGTGTTCAGGCACAAGGATATCCACAAAGCGACATGGATTTCACCAGATGGACACACTAAAAATCAAATCGACTTTATCTCAATCTCAAGAAAATGGAGACGCAGTCTACTTAACACAAGGTCAAGAAGAGGAGCAGATGTAGGTTCAGACCACTATCTAGTGCAAGGAACCTTCCAAATCAAGTTAAAAGCCTTCAAGGAAGCTGGTGATAGACCTCAACCCAAGTACAACACTCGGAAACTGAAGGATGAAACTACAAAGGAGATCTTCAAAGCAGCCATCAAGACAAAATGGGAGACATCGAGCAACATCCCTGAAGAAACCTGTGTGGAAGAACACTGGAAGTCTTTGAAAGCTATGTGGAAAGAAACCTGCACAACAGTATTAGGAAGGAAGAAGAAAGAAGACAAGGAATGGATCTCGACGGATACCTGGAAGCTGATAGAGGAGAGGAGGATGGTGAAGCAGAAGATAAACCAGTGCAAGGATGCTCAACGACAAGAGGAACTGAGCACAATGTATAAAACACTGAACAAAGAAGTGAAGAAGAGTGCACGCAAAGACAAAAGACACTTCTACGAAACACTGGCAAGTGAAGCAGAACAGGCTGCAGGTAAGAGAGACCTGACGACATTGTATCAAATAACCAGGTTGCTATCAGGGAAGAGACCAACACAGATGAAACCAATAAAAGATGAAGAAGGAAATTTAATTACAAAAGAAGAGAAACAGAGGAAACGATGGGCCGACCACTTCAAGAAGCTCTTGAATCGACCACCACCTGCACTTCGTCCAGAAATACCACCTGCAGCCGCTGAACTACAAGTGAACATTAATCCCCCAACGAAAATGGAAGTCCTGAACGCCATAAAGCTACTGAAATGCGGGAAAGCAGCAGGACCAGATGGAATACCGCCAGAAGCACTGAAAACAGATGCAGAGACAACAGCGGACATGCTCACACCACTATTGCAGAAGGTGTGGAAGGAAGAGAAGGTACCTCGCGATTGGAAGAAGGGTTACCTTGTCAAACTGCCGAAGAAGGGAGACCTCAGTGCTTGCAAGAACTGGCGCGGAATCACTCTCCTGTCCACCCCAAGTAAAATATTAAGCCGCATCATCCTGGAGAGGCTAAGGGATGCACTGGATTCAAAACTACGACCGGAACAGGCAGGCTTCAGGAAGTACAAATCATGTGCAGACCAAATTGCAACGCTTCGTATCATCATAGAACAGAGCATAGAATGGCAATCAGCTCTATACCTCAACTTCATCGACTTTGAGAAGGCCTTTGACAGCGTCGACCGAGAAGTAATTTGGAAACTGCTTCAATACTACGGAGTACCGCAAACCTTTATCCGCCTCATTCAACAACTATATGAAGATGCTACATGCCAAGTAATCCACAATGGGAAGCTCAGTGATGCCTTTGAAGTGAAGACAGGAGTGAAACAAGGTTGCCTACTATCCCCCATGATATTCTTGATTGTGGTGGACTGGATCATGCAGCAAACAGTAGGCAGCGAGAAGAGGGGGATACACTGGACGACGGAAAAGAACCTAGAAGACTTGGATTTCGCCGATGACTTATGCCTAATGTCACATAAACTTGAAGATCTGCAGGCAAAAACTAACAAGTTGGCAGAAAGGCAGCGAAGACGGGACTTCAGGTGAATATAGAGAAGACAGAAGTGATGAAGATACCGCACCACCACCATCAACAACAACAACAACAAACTCCAATCACCATCAACGGGAGAAACTTAAAGGAAGTAACCTCCTTCACTTATCTAGGAAGCACTGTTTCAACTACAGGCGGGACGGACGAGGACGTCAAAGTCAGAATCGGAAAAGCAAGACAGGCGTTCATTAGCCTGAAACCAGTGTGGAGATCTTCTGCACTCAGCATGCGGAACAAGATACGGATTTTCAACACCAACGTCAAGTCAGTGCTCTTGTATGGCTCAGAGACTTGGCGCGTCACGAAAGGTATTTCCAATAAACTACAGACATTCATCAACAACTGCTTACGCTCGCTGCTGAAGATCAGATGGCCAGAAAAAATAAGCAACAAGGAACTCTGGGAACGAACCAACCAAGAACCTATCACGCAACAAATATGCAGGAAGAAGTGGAGATGGATTGGCCATGCACTGAGAAGGCCGACTGAGGACATCACGCGTCAGGCCAGTTCGAGTGGAATCCCGATGGGAAGCGACGAGTTGGACGTCCGAGGGTGACATGGAGGAGGTCGTGCGAGCAGGAAATGAGAGCTTCTGGGCTGTCGTGGGACCAGGTTCAAAAGATCTCAGAGAACAGAGGTCACTGGAGGCGTGCTACTGAAGCCCTATGTTCCACTAGGAACCCAAGGGACTAATAATATAATAATAATAAGTAGATTATAAACATGCAACGTAACTATATACACACATACCCATCAAAGAGGAAATAAAATAAACAAATGAATACATTTTTTAGTTCACATACACTTAAGTGAATGGCGTTTATAGCGTTTATTTACATATTCAACAAGAACTAGTGATACCGAGGGTCGGTTGAATTGTACTATCCACTTCTTCATGAATAACATGGATACGATCAAGTATGACATCATAAAGGCAGACGTCAGTAGGTGCAAACACTGTGTAAAGGGAGGTCAGTTTATACTTTATTTTTAAAAAGCCAACTCACTAGAATGCAAAACAAAATATGTTCACCAAAAAATCGAAATCATATATATATATATATATATATATATATATATACATGCATACCATCATTGATTTGAGGGATGACACCTTCATTGAACTCGCCGAAGAACTCAAAAGCCGCAAGGGAAAATTCGAAACAAACCTCATCGTAGCTGTAAAACTAATGAAAAGAAAAAAAACAACATTGTACAATTAAAGTAATGAACTGTTAAGGATGCCTAATTTCTAAGAAAAAGTAACTGATGTTTATATTATCATTGTAAAATGTAAACCTTATCTTAGCGCCCTTTTTGTGCCATACTATGATAATTAATTTCACCGCACTTTAGGATACTAAACACTGATTGGTCCATTTTACACTTTTAATGTGCTATTTTGTTTTACCTGGTCAAGGTCATCTAAAGGTAATAAAAACGACTGGATTTTCAGTTTATAAGGATAATTCAGATGAAATAAATACACTTTCAATCTCATCGTCTTCTTCTGATGTTAGGTGAATATCGAGTTGAGAAGTCGTTATTATATCGTCAATTGCATAGCGTCAGAGTATTGTATTGTTTCATATACATACATTTACTGTGAATCACAACATGAATAAATTAAAAATTTACGAAAACCGTCTTAAAATCGAATTATAAACAAATTCCTGAAGTCAATACAAATTTGAACTTGGCGCAACTATAAAAGCCATCGCAACAACTATTGAAACGACCAATTAGAGTTCTGTACTCTATGTAAAACTACCTCTTCAGTTGAAGTAAAGAAAATAAATTGGTCATTTCGGTCATTGTTAGAGGAGTCTTTAAAGTAACTCAGGTCTTGCGGACTCACTGTTTTATAATCTAGAACAAGTCCTATGGTTTTAATTTAGAAATGATATGACATACAAGGGTAAGACTCAAACGAACTACACTCATCCACAACTCAGTTCATGAAACTCAATCACAAATACGCAGGTATACGCATTTACAAGGCTAATGGCGGTCAAAAATACTAGAATTCGAGTGACCTGTCCACAAAAACTGAACATAAAGAAAAATTTTGTGGTGTATTCGTCACGGACCGACATCAATTACGGATTCATTGAAAACCTGGGAGCATTGGACAACTGTTTGGTCTTAGTATGACACTCTTCAGCAATACGCACCCATGACCCGGCTAGGGATGGAACTCAAGACGTTCAGGTCTCATGGCGAACACGTTAACCACTTAGCCACTGGGTCAGAGTTCAATGATTCAGTTTCCAACTTTTAATCTGCGGAGTCAACCAGTCGGGAGGGAAGCGGATGCTAACTGAAGACCTTGGGTGATAGTCTTGCAAAATCATGAATCGCAGGCAGATAGTATTACGAGATGTCATGCAATAAGTGTGGTTATTGGCCTAATGCACAAAAGCGTATGTGGTTAATGAGTAAGACATTTCGATTTTTTTTTCGAAAGGAGTATGAACATAATTACGTGTATGTGTATATTGGGATAATAATTCATGATAACGTAATAAGTCCAAACTCAGGTGGATGTACTTGCTTCATGTGCCACAGATAATATGCGGGTGTTAACTATACCACTCGGTGGCGCAAACCTCTACTTATATCGGTCAACTTCTATGATCGCCATAACGAAATTTATGGTAATGTTTTTATAATTTCAAACCTTTTATATAACCCAAAAGGTAGTTTTCACCATGTAGTCACATCAATTGCAAAACCATCGAAAACCAAAAAGGGTTGGGCAGCTATTTCATCCTAGTTTATGGCTGCAAGACAGAGCGTACAACCAGTCATGCAAGAGACTGAACTCACGACAAACATGTCTCACGGTGGGTAGTATTACACTTTCATGAAATATATTTTAATACGAAATTTGTAAGCAAGAACGAATGTTTTATTGTGGTGAAGTTGGTAATAAACAATCTACCTGAGTATAGCTATGAAAAAAAACTCGTCAATCAGTCTTATTTATGCGTATCGAATGCATTCCTAAAGCTGACAGATTCAAGTTTATTAAAGTATGTGATCAGGTGAAAATGAAACTCGCATACAGCAAAAATTAATCTACAGTAATCCACTACCAATAACAAACTCCAATCACCATCAACGGGAGAAACTTAAAGGAAGTAGTCTCTTTCACGTATCTAGGCAGCACGGTCTCAACTACAGGCGGCACAGACGAGGATATCAAGGCAGCCAGAATCGGAAAGGCAAGACAGGTTTTCATTAATCTGAAACCAGTGTCCAGATCTACTGCACTCAGAACAAAGAACAACATCCGAATTTTCAACATCAATTCAGTCAAGTCTGTGCTGCTATGTCATGGTTCAGAAACCTGGAGCATCACGAAAACCATTTCCAACAAACTACAGATATTCATCAATAGCTGTCTACGCTCACTCGATACTGAAGGTCACATGGATGGCCAGAATAATAAGAATCAGCAACAAGGAACTCTGGCTGTCGACGAACCAATGAAGCAAGAACCTATCACCTAACAAATATGCACTGGAAGGAAGTGGAGATGGATCGGGTATACACTGAGAAAGACGATTGGGGACATTACGAGCCAGGCCAGCCCGTCGAGTGGAACCCTGATGGGAAACGACGAGTTAGGCGTTCGAGGCGAGGTTGACATGGAGGAGATCATGTGAGGAGGAAATGAGAGCTTGTGGGCTGTCGTGGAGTCAGGTTCAACAGATTTCAGAGAACAGAGGTCACTGGAAACGTGCTACTGAAGCCCTATGTTCCATTAGGAACCTAAGGGACAAATAAATAAATAATAATAATCCACTACCAACAACAACTATGGAAAAATTGCTGAAAAGATCGAGTCTACCTAAGCTTACAACATTATTGATCATTAAGCAACCTAAAATTATTATAACAATAAACTAGCACAGTAGATGTTAACGCTTGATTCGTAAGCATTGTATGCCTTTGTTTATCACCTTATAACTTTCGTTGGTCTACAAATATTACCTAGACTTTGATGGTTAAGCCTTTCAATTTAATCAGTATCATGGGAAATGGTATTATTACTGCATATTGATTTCAATTGCCACACCTTAAGTCACCGTATCAATCAAGGTGGGGTGAAAAGATGAAAGATGAAGAAATAAGGAAGTGAGTATGCAAAATTCTCTGACTTGAAGCAGATAGACAAAATCAACAATGAACCACGTACACAACTGCATCGAGTGAAGTTGCTACACTTCACAATAGTATACAAAGAACAGGTGGACAGAAAAAAGACTCATATTGAAGCAGATAAAGTTGTATGAGAGAATAAACAATCTGAAGATGATGATTAGTGTGAATATTCAAGCTTTAGAAGATATCAGTAAGTAAATACATCTGCCCCATTGTCACCAACAGCCTTCAACCACTAATGCCATTCGTCTCCGTGTCACCAGTCAGAGACTTCACCAACGAGTGACATGTCTTCGTCTGGCCACTCTGAACCACCTTTTAACCTAATCCACTTTCCCCCAGCATGGCGGTGGCTCGGCAAGCCATCTCAGTCGGTGATGGTTCACAGCCTCATCATTCCACTAGCTTGTCCTGTTTAGTACCCTTCGCCTGACCTCAACATTGTTCACTCGGTGATTCCACCAAATGCGACCAATGCTACCATGATATATATGATCAAAATCCTGTAATCGCTTCATGTCTTCTACTTTTAACGGCCATGTCTTGCAGTCATATAATAGGACAGAACAGACTGCAGAGCAATGTGCTCATCGTGTGATAGATAGTAGGATAATTCACCAATCAGTGCGATAGATGACTTCAGCGCTGAGTGACGCAGGTGCGAACCACAGACAGAATACAAGTTTCCTTATGAATGTGAACATGCTTTGCTGATGAATCCAAACAAATACGAAACCTTGATCCACGGTTTACTGTGGCTTCCAACATCAAAAATCAAAATAATAGTAGTTTAAGTTGAGACAGTTAGTATTCATCATAAACTGACACCAAATGGAGGAAAATTGGAAACCTGGAAGCACTAGACAGCCCTTTCGTCTTAGTACGAGACACCTCAGCAGTGCGTATTCCTGGGGGTGGAGTCATGGGTGCGCACTGTTGAGGAGTCTCGTACTAAGACGAAACAGCTGTCCAGTGCTCCAAGCTTTCTAATATTTCTGCAATTAATGTCGGTCAATGAGGAATACTAATTTGAAATCAATAAATCCCTACAAAACTACCGAATTCAATTTCCAAGACAATTGTCAGAGTTATGGTATGTACACAGACAATTACCTCTTGATTTTGGCCCTTATTCCAGATTGTTTGACACAGATCTGTAATATATAAAACAAAAAAAAACATGAAAGTATTTAAATAATTATAAAGATTAAATCTGTGGTACACTATTCGAATATAATACGTACAATCAGATTGAAAACTAATGGATCACTATCCTCTTGAACCAAATTCACTTTCTTCAACAAAACTAGCTAACAATCAAATACAAAAAATCACAACAAACAATACAGTATTAAACAGACAGACAGACATACAGACTAATCATCATATGAATATACAAAAGCATAAAATTTAAGACAATCACTCTCTCATTCACGAGATCAGTTGTTAATAATGTGAAAATGGTTAGGATTCTGATGCGCAGAATCATCACATTGTACTAAAAGTGTATACCAATCAACAATAAGTAACGTACCGAAATAATTTCAGAATATTTGGCACAATATGAATTGATGAGAAATTAGCTGTAAAAGAGACGAATCAAAATATGTATATGAAGTCAAGAAATATTGTAAATAGGTATTTTTAAAGTTTCAAATAATTCCCCGCCTAAAATTGTATAACTAAATGACTGAAACCAGGGTTATATGAAGTTTAGTTCAGTTTAAACAAGAAGCCATCTAAATGAATAGATATCAATTAAGTTCGTGATTTAACAAAACACTTTATAAAGAAAGCAAATGATTAAAGGTAATAATGCCCAATTGTGAGCATGATTTCGACTGTAAATAAATTTCCAGTAGTGTTGTAATCACGACTAATCGTAAAAAGAGGTTAGGTACTCCATCGATACTATACAACGTTGTTTCCGTAAAGCTTTCCTTTAGACAAAAACCTTTTGTTTATAAGACAGTTCAACTCACTGGATCACAAAGTATGAAAGTGATTATCATAAAATGAGTTGACTTGTACGATAGATCTAAATTTTTAGTAATAGGTAATTTAGACCAATGATGTGCTTAACTCGAAAATAGACTGCGTCATCATCATCATGAAGATCAACATAGGATTAGGCATTACTGATCAACCGTCCAAGTTGCCACACCTTATACCATCACACCAAGTAACAAAGCAATGAGATGAAAGATGAAAACATAAAAAAGAATCAATCGAAAGCAGTAGAAAGCAATAACAAGTCTTCAACCATTGGTTGCTGTTGTCATATGAACTCCCACCGCCTACTCTACATTTCTCTACATGGCTCGAACCAATAGTCAAAGACTTCATGCTCTGACGCTTTGTTTTAACCTTTTTCTAGCTAGAACCTACTTCAGCTAACACTAGGTGATGAGGTAGACTGTGACTAGGCATCACTCCTCCCTAAAACTCTACACCTGACTTCTGTATTACTCATGTGGTAACATTTCATAAACTTCAGGTTCTTGGATGATTTAAGTCTAATGTCGTGTCGCAAAAAATCGAAGACCCACAGGCGAAAACCAACAAGTTGATAGAAGAGGCAGGGTAGCGAAAACGAGACTATAAGTTAATGCAGAGAAGACAGAGGTGATGAAGATACCCAACCAACAACAAGCACTAATCACCATCAACGGGAGAAACTCAAAGGAAGTAGTCTCTTTAACCTACCTACCTGCGTACGCAGCATAGTTTCAACTGCACATGGTACAGACAAGGATGTCAGAACCAGGATAGGAAAGGCAACACAGGCCTTTATTAGTCTGAAATAAGTAAGGAGATCTGCACTCAGCAGAAAACGTGAAGAAGATCTGGATTTTCAATACCAATCCAGTCAAATCAGTGTTTCTATGTGATGGTTGAGAGACTTGTCGCGTTGCGAAAAGCATTTCCAACAAACTACAGACATTCATCAACAACTGCTTACGCTGGCTCGTTACTGAAGCTCAGATGGGTAGCCAGAAATAATAAGCAACAAGGAACTCTAGCTGTCGACGAAACAACGAAGCAAGAACCTATCGCCCAACAAATATGCACTGGAAGGAAGTGGAGATGGATTGGGCATGCACTGAGAAAGCCAATTGGGGACATCACGTGCCAGGCCAGACACTGGAGTAGAACCCAAATGGGAAACGACGAGTTGGGCGTCTGAGGCGAGGTTGACATGGACGAGATCATGTGAGGAAGAAATTGAAAGCTTGTGGTCAGTCGTGGCGCCAGGTTTTGAAGACTACAGAGAAGTGCAGAGTGGAATGGAGACGTGCTACTGAAGCCCTATATTCCACTAGAAACCCAAGGGGAAATAATAATAATAATAATAATTATCTCAGTGTTTAGGAATTATTACCGCTTGAATGTAACTAGTTAAACAGATTAAAGGTTGTTAAACAAACATATCGATTTGGTCATCCAGTTTCATGTTCATTTTGATACAGAAATTCATTCAATCACTGTAAACTAACAAGTAGTCGATGACATATAAAAAAAACAGAAAATCTTTAGTCAATAAACCACAAACATGCATACATACAAATCAGAAGATAATTCATATTTTGTATATGTTGCATAACAGATTTATTTCTGAGAAAAGAATGTACATAACAAAATCTTGAAAATACACGTAATATAATCCAACCACGTATATGTATTATGTAATGGATAGTGGATGAGTTGCACCTGTTTTATAAACTCTGATTGATAGATACTACTTGGTCGGTCATATCAAAGATAGCAGATAAGAATGTCAACTAAGGACTTATCTTTCGACAATTGGACATATTAAGCAAATAAACCACACCTTCAGATTAAAAATATATATATATTCAATAATAACAATTCTCTAGACCTTTTTTGACATAATTTTTGATAAAAATAAACTTTTTAAAATAATCCATAAACGAAAATGTAGTTCTGAGTGAGATTTTTTTTTCATTTCCTCTCTAGAATAAAATAATCACCTAATGAAGAGAAAAAAAATTGGTAATACACTACAACAACACTACAGTTATTACTAATTACTAGTAGTAGTAGTAGTAGTAGTAGTAGTAGTAGTAGTAGTAGTAGTAGTGGTAGTAGTAGTAGTAGTAGTAGTAGTAGTAGTAGTAGTAGTAGTAGTAGTAGTAGTAGTAGTACTAAACAATAAAGTAAAATTACACTTAAAAAGATCACAATAATGATACATAAATGGAATAGTAAAGCGTAATTGATAAATAACGCTAGTATAATATTCTAGTGATGGAGAATAAAATAAGCAATGAAACCAGAGAAGCAAAAGAACTAATGATAATTAGATGATGATGATGATGATGATGATGATGATGAATAAAAGACACTCATGATATGGATGGATGGATGGATGGATGAAGAGAAAATATTGATGAAAAGTAAACTATGAAGATGATTAGACTGCCAGGATGTGCAAATATGATATTTGTTCAACGATAAAATGAATATGGTAATGATAATAATAATAATAATAATAATAATAATAATAATAATAATAATAATTATACTGGGTGATGATTGATGTTGAAATGAAAATTTAGACTACAACCGGATTAGAACCAGCGACCACTGGGTTCCCGACCCAACGCTCTACCAACAAAACTCATGTAATTCAGTTAGTGGAGCATTGGGACGAAAACTTGGTGGTCGCTGGTTTCAATCCGCCCGTGGTCCAGGTTTTCATTTCACCTTCAGTCATCACTCAGTATAAATACTAGTCTCCTAAACTATAGTCAAATGATAATAATAATAATAATAATAATAATAATAATAATAATAATAACGGATTGGTAAAACACCACAGTTAAGTAATAATTATTAAAAATAATAGTGATAATAATAACAATAATAAAAGTATTCAAAGGATGAAATACTATCTAAGGGAAAAAGAGTCCCATGACAGATGGTTCAATGAGTGTGAATAGCGATATTAATACTGTATGTGATATATATAAGTAGAATTCAGTAAACACTTGAGCAAAACCACAGTGAACAATAAGAAGGAACAATAAATGACTATGAAAATGAATTCTATACACTGCTCACAAAAGAAAAAAACAGTTGATTGAATTATAAAGAATAAGCAAATATGTTAATCACATATTAATTTGATCTTGATTTAATTACTAATTGGCAATTACAAAGATATTTCTATTTAAAAAGTTTCATTGAAACTGAAACCACTAACTCGGCTATTAAGACTTTGTCGGCTACCATGAAAACTGAAATCTTCAAAATATGGTCCATCAATAATACGATTTCCATTATTAGTATTATTATCAATATCATCTGGTGAAGTTAAGTCTACTGATGAATCTCTATATTCATCTGGAACATATTTTGTATCCTTTTCATCTACTACATCTGGTTTCCATGGTGGTTGAATATCTCTAAAAATTTAATCATATAAAAATAATATAACAATACAATTGGGATGAATAGACAAAACTGAAATTTGGAAATATTGATACATAATGAAGCTTTTTTTTTCTAATACTTCATAAAATACCTAAGTCATTCATATTTAAGGGGAAAATGCGGAGACCTTAGAGATCACCCCAACAACTGTTGAAACAGCCAATTAGGTCTCAGTAGTTTGGTTAGGAAGTTAGATTTTCCTAAAATATATAGCTATAATTGGTCTTTTCAACAGTTTCTACGAGGTTATTATTCATTGACATACTTGTAATTCTCCGTTGTTTTGTTGGATCGAATTGTTCGACCTTTATTAGCATATGCGCTCTTACGCGGATGCCTCGATATTGCTTGAATGTTAATTGTGATAATTTGGTTGGTTGTGGCCAGCAGAAGAATCCAGGACGCGCGCTTCGCCCTATTTAAGACTCGTCAGCCGGATGTACCAGCACCCTGTGATGTTTCCACTGAGACTCGAACCTCGAACCCATCGCTTCAAACGCCAAGGTGTTATCCACTATGCCAACCGGGACTCGGACTCGGGAGCGATCGCTTCATACGCGAGACCGTTACCCACTAGGCCACCGAGCCACGATAGCCACTTCTTGTGTGATGGGTAAAGGTTTAGTGTTATTGTTTGTATTATACCGTGGGAACAACATCACTGATTGGGAGGCAGGTAAATCCAGCTGACCAGTGAGTCCCAAATAGGACGAAATAGGCATCCTGGATTCCACTGCTAGCCATGATCCATCATTACTATACATAAACAATAATAATAATAATGGTAATTGTGGTAATTTGCTTGGTTGTAACTAGCAGAGGAATCCAGGATGCGCGTTTCGCCCTATTTAGGACCCGCAACGTAGTGCGGAGTGATGTAGTCCCCAATGAAACTCGAATCCCGTACCCACCACATCAAACTCCGTGTTATCCACTATGCCACAGAGAAACGATAGACAATCTTTGTACAATGTGTATTAGTTATTACTATTTATTGATATACTTGTAACTCTTCGTTGTTTTATTGGGTTGAATTATTCGACCTGTATTGGTATATGGGCTCTATGCAGATGTATCAATACTGCCTGAATGTTAATTATGACAATTTGCTTGGTTGTTACTAACAGAGGAACCTAGAACGCGCGTTTCATCGGGATTTTTCTTCAATCCACTTTATCAAGATCCTAAAAACGATGAATGGAGTTGGCTGACTGAAATTAATTATTTTCAAACTCATTTATATGGAAATATCACTATTATTATTATGCTAATATATTATTTAAAAGCCTTGATATCATTCAAATGCTCCAGTAGTAGACGGATAAATTCAGTCCAATCAACGATGGGATAATGCACCCAATGTCGATTGCACAAGAAGTGCCCACCATGATGCTGTGGTGTTTGAAGCCATCGGTCTCTGAGTTCGAGTCATGATGGGAACAACATCGCTCCCTAGGGGGCAGGTAGTACATCCTGCTGACGAATTCCAAAAAGGACGAAACGCGCATGAAGCTGGATTAATTGTTGTAATCGATTAACAAATTAGTTTAATAGTGAAATAGATATCAATAATAATAATACTCACTTTCTGATAAGACGATCCCAATCAATTGTTGCAAAAAATAAATGTGCCATAACTTCTAAAACATCCTGTATTCCACCACCTAATCGACTAGTTGGATCTTTGATTAAAAGTCTCGATAAGATATCTTGAGCCGGTTGTGAAAGACGAGGTGGGAATGAAACATTTTCCTGCATAAAAGAATGAGGAGGAAAAAAAACGAATATTTTAATCTGACAATAGTTTACAAAAGATTTAAACAACACACTAGGACAATAACGAAGATTTAGCTAACGATCTCATAAGAAAATGGACATTAGTGAAATGAATATATCTACCAATATATCTGTACAATGATAAATTCGCTAGGCAAATGCAAGAACACTCCTCAATTAGCTAATATATAATATTAGTCACTTTGGTTCCCAGTCGAACATAGGGCTTCAACAGCAGGACTCCATTCCACTCTGCACTTCTCTGTAGTCTTCAAAACCTGGCGCCACGACTGACCACAAGCTTTCAATTTCTTCCTCACACCATCTCCTGCATACCACCTTCAACGCCCAAATCGCCATTTCCCATTTGGGTTCTACTCCAGTGTCTGGCCTGGCACGTGATGTCCCCAATTGGCTTTCTCAGTGCATGCCCAATCCATCTCCACTTCCTTCCAGTGCATATTTGTTGGGCGATAGGTTCTTCCTTCGTTGTTTCGTCGACAGCTAGAGTTCCTTGTTGTTTATTATTTCTGACCACCCATCTGAGCTTCAGTAACGAGCCAGCGTAAGCAGTTGTTGATGAATGTCTGTAGTTTGTGGGAAATGCTTTTCGTAACGCGTTAAGTCTCCCAACTATCACATAGAAACACTGACTTGACTGGATTGGTATTGAAAATCCGGAACTTGTTCACGCTTTCTGCTGAGTGCAGAAGATCTCCACACTGGTTTCAGGTTAATGAACGCCTGTCTTGCTGTATTTCCGATCGTGGCTGGCTTTCACGTCTTCGTCTGTGCCGCCTGCAGTTGAAATGGTTATGTCTAGATAGGTGAGAGGCTACTTCCCTTGAGTTTCTCCCGTTGATGGTGATTGGAGCTTGTTGTTGTTAGTGGTGGTGGTGTTGGTTGGGTATCTTCATCACCTCTGTCTTCTCTACATTAACTTATAGTCTCGTTTTCGCTACCCTGTCTCTTCTGTCAACTTATTGGTTTTCGCCTGTACGTCTTCAAGTTTGTGTGACATTAGACATGAATCATCGTTGACGAAATCCAAATCTTCTATGGTCTTTACATCGGTCAGCCGGAGTTTGCCCGTCAACTCGCTCCTCACGGTTTGCTGCATGATGCAGTCGACTACAATCAGGAAGATCATGGGTGATAGTAGGTGGCAGCATTGTATTACTCCTGTCTTCACTTCAAGGCGTCACTTGGCGTGTAACGTTTTCATGTAGCTGTTGAATGAGGTTGATAAAGATTTGTGGTACTAAAACCGTAGTGGTTAAGCAACTGCCAAATTACTTATCGGTCGACGCTGTCGAAAGCCTTTTTAAAGTCGATGAAGTTGAGGTAGAGAGTTGACTGCCATTCTATGGTGACGCGTAGGATTGGAATTTCGGTCTGCACGTGATTTGTACCTCCTGAATCCAGCCTGTTCCGGTCGTAGTTTTGAATCCAATGCATCCTTAAGTCTCTCCACGATGATGCGGCCCAATATTTTGCTTGGGGTGGACAGGAGTGGAGCATGATTTCGCGCCAGTTCTTGCAAAGACTTCGGTCTTCTTTCTTCGGGAGTTTGACCAGGTAGCCCTACTTCCGATCGCCAAGTATCTTTCCTTCCTTCCAGACCTTCTGCAATAGTGGTGTGGTGTGAGCATGTCCGCTGTTTTCCCTGCGTCTGTCCTCAGTGCTTCTGGCGGGATTCCATCTGGTCCTGCTGCTTTCCCGCATCTCAGTAGCTTTATGGCGTTCAGCACTTCGACTTTCGTCGGAGGGATTGTGTTCACTGGTAGTTCTGTGACTGCAGGTGGTAGTCGAATTAGCTTAAAGAACCAGAAAACTTACATACACTCATTAAGGGATATGTCAGCACATTCATAATTTGATTTCAGTAGTTAAATTTAAGTACTAAATGAGTAAGCACTACATAGCGGTGAATGGGAACAAAAAAACACCAACAGAAGTATAAATCCACGGCGTAAGCAAAGTGAATACTGAGACAATTATGAAATATCCACCGACACATTACTTCTCAATTACAATATAAAGCAAAAATTGTTACACTTTACATCAGAACATTGAAAAGGGAGTTGAAAAAAAAAGAAAAGAAAATACGTAATGAAAATAGAGCAAATACTATGTAGTCTCCAAGTATGCTATGCCTCCCCCCACCCTCATCTAACTAGGAGTACACTCATCTCAAAAAAATGGAAATGAACAGTTAAAGAAAGACCTAACTGCGGTATGGTATGTCTATGTATTACTTTATTTTCTAACTCAATCCTAGTTTAGTTAACCTTTCATGTTGGACTATAAACAAGATAGTTCGGGATGTGTAGCATGCTGTTTCTTGTCTGTTCAGATGAAGATGGATAACAAATCTGTCAACTAATTTACCAACATTACAGAGGTGATACAAATGTAGTCATAATCAAACACTTTAAGCTTCCTTGGATTGTACACCTTACACGATCATGTTACACAGTCGTGTATTATAATAACAGTAAGCATTTCAGCGTAATATATTTGGTGACAAATATGTATTCAGGTATTTTTCGATAATACTGTAAGTTGTCAAGAAAAAAAACTATGCATTGGCTATCAACCAGCTACTTAGACTAGATGCAACTTTAAAATTGGGTGAACCGGTCAACAATTTCACTATTTCACTCCACAACCATAAACTATGAGTTGATGCAGATCAGCTGTGAAACACACCAAACATACTCAAACTTTAATGATGGATAGTGGTTAGCAATGGAATCCAGGACGGGTGTTTAGTTCTATTCGGGACTCGTCAGCTAGACGTACCTGCCTCCCAGTGAGTGACGTTGTCCTCACCGAGACTCAAACTAGGGACCAATCGCAGTGAACACCAGAGCGTTATCCACTAGGCCACCGAGCCATGATAGCCACTTCTTGTGCAACGTGTATAGTTTTAGTATAATCACTTGTATTAAATCGTCGTTGGTTGGATCGAATTGATCGGTCTCTATTGGCATATGGGCTCCTGTATGCATGCCTCGATATTACCTGTGTTATAATTATAGCTGACGAGTCCCAAGTAGCCACTATCCAACAGCTTCGCGTACTCCAAGTAAATCACATATTCCATCAGGACCATAACAGGCTAGTTGTTTAGAGCATATCGGTTCATATTTCATGGCGACCAGATCAACACCTGGCACCAGCCGATGAAGTCCATGACCGTAGCGGTTTGGGGAGATGTAGGCTATCTGGTTGGCATCCCTAAGACGATAGAAATCAGTAGTTAAGGAGGACTCTTGGTGATATGGTTGAAAATCGGTCATAATTTGACAGATGTATTCATGTCTTATTTTTTCTCCTACACTACTTCGTCTACTTTGATACCACTCCTTTTCTATCCACCTGTTCTTTGTGTACTAATATATGAAATGTGACAAAAAGCCGATGCATATGTGTAAGAGGTTCTACGTTTGACTTTGTTAATCAGTCAGTTAGAATAGCAAGCCTAACTACCGTGTCAAGGTAGCAAATATCAGGTGGATGTGGAGGCATATGAAATCAGGATGCTAGAATTACTTTTTTTTTAATACTAATAAAGATAACCCACGATACTAAAGGTTAATTATCAGTTCGACTATTTCAGGTAGGCGCAGTCTGGCAATTTCAATCGGCTAAAATCAAACAAGAATACAATAACATTGAATTTAGAAAGAAAAATGACCAGAACAAGATAGTAATGGTTAAACTTGCAAAATGAAGTGATATCATCTTATGCCATGGATATTCCATCAGTCGTATACACATAAGTGGAACTATAAGTAATCTGTCTAGGCGTAAATTAAAAGGAAGTTAAAATTACAAACTTTAAGTGCACAAGACCGAATGATACATCTTTTTTCTAAGAACTACAGCAATTTAAGTTCGTTGACAATCATAGATATTTGTGAGATAAACTAATTTTGAGGTAATGTATTCAATTGAGGACTGATATCAGATGGAGAACCGTTGAAACCCCAGGCTGGAGTTCAATGGTTCACAGTTTCCAAATTCTGTCAGTTCACAATATAGCTCGACTATCACACAAGGTTTTCAATTAGTGTTCGCTTTCTTTCTAGCTGGTTACTGCTTCTCACTTGAACTTCGTGATATCCATCTGGAAGCATATCACTAATGAGCACTATATAATGATTGTATTTTGGAACGAATCGGGATATTGATTTTGAGGTTGTATTCATCATGGATTGACATTAGTTCATCTCATGATACATTATTGTATATTCCTAATTAATGACATACTTCCAGATTGATATCCCAAAGCTCTAATAAGAAACCGTAACCAGTAGGATCAACCAGTTGGAAGGGAAGCGGATATTATTTGAAGACCTTCAGTAATAGTTGCGTTATATCACGAATTCACAGAAGTTGGAAACTGTGAACCATTGAACTTCGAACCATTGGCTGAATGGTTAAAGCGTTTGCCGTGAAACCTGAACATTTTGAGTCCGATCCCTAGCCGAGTTGTGGGTGCGAACTGCTGAAGAGTCCCAATATTAGGATGAAACAGATATCCAGTACCACTAGACTTCTAATAGTTTCTCAAGTGATGTCAGCCATTTTCTTCAATGAATTATATGCTTCTTAGCTTGACTTAATGCATTATGATAGCGAAAAATGTACCAAAATTTATGCGTCTAACAAAAACCGGAATAGAAATACACTGATGAACAACAAAAAAATATTGATTGATAATATATGAACTACTCACTTGAAGAATCAATTCAAATAAGACTTCATGATCACTAGAATAAAAGGGTAAACGTCCACACATCATTTCATACATTACTACACCAAGACCCCACCAATCAACTGAACGCCCATAATCACTATCTAACAGAACTTCAGGTGCTAAATATTCTGGAGTACCACAAAATGTTTTAGTTGATGCACCATAGTACATATCTTCTTTGCATAAGCCAAAATCAGCTATCTTTATATGCCCATCTTTATCCAATAGTAAATTTTCTAATTTAAGATCCCTGTTATGTGAACAAAATGAAAACATTATGTACGTCAATGTGATGACAAAGAATAAACTTTGAAATAAAACACTTATGTATGAATTGAAAACAAAATAGTGAATAAATGATGATAAATCTCTGATAAAATCAAGCATAGTTCACGTCTTAGTAGGCTGGTATTGGGCACAACACGTATCATGTGCAACTTTAAACGTCACTTAGGCAATTGCTAAAACAGCCAATCAGGTTTCGGTATACCGGCCATAAACGTAGTTTTACATAACTGATGTCAGTCTTCGATGAATAACAACTTGAAATATTTCCAAATCTTCACAACCCCCTCAAAATTTAATTGAACTAGTGCTCGTTGGTGACTAGCTTCGAGAAGTATTCCCGAAGTTCCAATGACAAGTCGTGACCGGTGGAGTCAAAGCCTGATGGCCGTGAGGACAAATACTCAACGATGACATTGGGTGGCGGTTTGCGCTATATCGTGAGCTAACAGAAGTTGGAAATATGGAGCATTGGATTCTGACCCAGTGGCTAGCTCAATGGTAACGTGCTGGTCGCGGAACCTGAAGGTCGCGGGTTCGATCCCTGCTGGTGGGGTCGTGGGTGCGCACTGCTGAGGAGTCCCATACTAGGACGAAACAGCTGTCCAGTGCTCCCAGGTTTCCTTTGTTCCTCCAACTGATGTCAGTCTTCGATGAATAACAACTTGAAATATTTCCAAATCTCCACAACCCCCTCAAAATTTATAAAAGAAAAGAGAAATGTTATTGGTTGTCACAGCAGTTGCTAAGATGGCTTTTAAAGTCGACCTTACATCCACTCCGCATTATGATGCTACTGAATTAGTTTACATACATGAATTATAAACAGGTTTAATAGGGTATTGTCTTCCAGCATACTACGTTACAAATGTTACAAAGGCGAAAAAGCTCATCCGACTAGTTTCATGTGATGATTGACATCCCTGAAAAATGCATTACTCTAATTTGTAATTATTGAAGGTGAAATGAAAATCTAGACTACGGTCGGATTAGAACCAGAGATTACCAGGTTTCCGGCCCGATGCTCCACCAACTGAGCTACAAGGTCCGACTGCTGACCAGATTTTTATTTCACTTCAATCACATTCATCTAAGCTTGTCGGATGACTCTGAGTGTTGCTGGGCTTGCCTACGCTGTTAGGTCACTCTGTGGTGGGTGTTGCTGATCAGAATGTATATATAAGTAGTATATGTTGAGAGAGCGGTAGAATAATAGGGAATTACCAGATATGGGTAAGGATTCTGCCCAGAGAAACCCCAGAAACAACGCGGGCGTATTAAGAGCAAATCAAGATAGAAGCAGAAGACGAAATGAAGTACATTATGCAAATGACTGTCATAGTGCAAGGTGTACTATATTTGATGACTACTGTACCAGATAATAATAATAAACATTCCTTCCTTCGTCTCTGCCTTCTCATTTCCTTCAACTCTACAATAAATTGGTTATTTCAGTGGTTGTTATAGTAGTGGCTCCTAGAATCACTTCTCCTTTCCACAGTTATGAGTCACCAACTAAACAAACTACAAGATATTGGTGGATAGTTAACTGATGGTGATTCTTCCCCCCTTCATCCATAATAAAAGAACCATGTATGCATACAAGTGAATTATCGGCTCAAATTGTACCATAATACATAAAAAACGAAATAGCAGGTATTGTACATAGAAAACGAACTTAGGCATAGTCAGTTATTTTCAACCTACAGATCGTAAGCTAGCAGGTTGATACAAAGCTACTGAGTTGATTTACACAATAATACCGTTAAATAAGCCTTAAGTAAAAGGTTACTTGAAACAAATGAAAACACAATGCAACTTTTCTCGGAGATTCCTGTTCTCTCTTTTCAAACCAACCACAAAAAAAAAACTAATTCAAAGTATAATATACTAGCGACATATTTCTTTAGAGAGTGAAAATAGTGAGCATAACTCTCCTTTGTTAAGGAATCATTTTCTTTTGCCATTACTCAACCAGACTACCTACCTATGCTTTGCGCACAGGAAATTTTCGAGTAGCTTTGTGAAGACATCGATTCTCTCTCTCTCTCCCTAAAGTAACTATTGTAATGATCATAACATTGAGGTATGATTCAAATGTAGCAAACAAGTCAATGCTCACAGATTACACGGGACGATAGCAACTCAGGTAGGTATACGATAAAGTATTCAAGTCAACATGTAACTTCGCTGTTGAATAGATAAAACTAATAGTCTTCTTATTTACACGGTATTCTAATTTACTCTTCGTTTAAACCTGCTTTGTTCTCCTTTCTGTATTTACCTGAGAAGTTGAAGTGGGTAGTACTTAAAAGTCGTGTACTGAGCTAGCAGAATCATAGCACCGACGACTAATAGTGGACAAAAAAAACCCAAAGCGTCTATGATATTCCAAGATGAACACCAATACCCGTACTGTACAAAAACTAAACATTTCTGATGATTAGGAAAATATCAATGACAACGAAGCAGGTACTTAAACAGTTAACGTGGTGATGTGATCACTTTTCTCATAGCATCAATCACCACATAGCCATCTCCCTTATGCTCATAACTGAGTGATATCATATGGTTATGTGCAATAAAATCTGTTCGAAACATCATCAGTTCATGTGGTCGCTAAGTGTCGATTTCAGCCGTGTGCTGAAATGTAGCCTTCCCGATCGAAGTCCACTTGAGAACACATATCACCGGCTGGAGACTATAGGTGACATGGCTCAGAATCTATGTCAGTAGAACAGATGCATCCACAAGTTACCTTTATCGTAGTCGTCATAACGACTGGGGACTAGCAACTACTAGTGATACCATAACATACGACACGCCGGTTAGACACCATCGCAATTCTAGACGAATGCGCAAAGACAGGACGTTACTCAACAAAGTTGGAAATGATGGTGCACCGAAGACGATATTGACGAATCACAGCACTTTTTTCGAGAGTGAAGATTTCACATTTCCAGTGTGATAACTGGGCATCAAGCAATTTAGACAGACTTTTTACCATCTTCAAACCAATAGTTTGACAAAACAAAATGACCATACTCTGAAGGAATGGTTGGCGGCAAAAGGAGTTAACTGTGAAACAGAACTTCCATTGATGGCAGTAGCACAACGGGCCTATCTGTAGTGAATAAGCAAAAACTCGCCAGTCCAGCTAATATTTAGCAGGAGAACTTGACTGCTAGTGCAGAGTAAGACCTGGCTGTAAGCAGCATAGTGGGATATTGCACGCTGAGGAACATCACAAAGGTAAGTTATTAAGAATGTTAAGGCAGATTTGATGATAGTCGAATAGAAACAAGGGAAGAAATGAAAACCTTTTGAAGTAGGAGATTACATGAAGTAGATGGCAGGGCAATGCGCCACAAGAAGCGGATCAAAATCAAGAAAACTGTAGGCAAAATGGAAAAACCCGTATACAGCCACGAGTGGAGGCTAGTGCGGAAATAAGCAGAGTTTGAAGCTAGATAGTAGAAGATAGCAATAGGAAGATCATTACGGCGACGGAAACAATCTGTAAAATGGAGGACAAGTGTAGTGAGAGCTACTTATAAGAACCTATATAAGTAGCATTATATACAGCATCGTCAAAAGTGAAAAGAATATAATATGTTGGATAGAAACATGAAGGGTCAAGAAGCGTTCGGAACGATATGCAGAATAAAATGGATTACCATTGAGTTACATGATTGGAATTCTATACAACACAACTACCCAGGTAAAAACATTCAGACTATTTTTAATAACGATATCCAAAGAAATCTAAAAATAAAAAAACACTGTCCAACAAAGGTCTAAACACAACAACTAATGATCACTACTGACTGCAGCAAACAGTGGGGAGCGAGGAGAGGGGGATACGCTGGACTGCGGAAAAGAACCTAGAAGATCTAGATTTCGCCAGTGATGACTTGTGCCTGATGTCACACAAACTTGAAGATCTGCAGGCAAAAACTAACAAGTTGATAGAAGAGGCAGCGAAGACAGGACTTCAGGTGAATATAGAGAAGACAGAAGTGATGAAGATACCGCACCAACAACAACAACAACAAACTCCAGTCACCATCAACAGGAGAAACTTAAAGGAAGTAACCTCCTTCATCTATCTAGGAAGCACCGATTCAACTACAGGCGGCACAAACGAGGACGTCAAAGTCAGCCACGATCAGAAAAGCAAGAAAGGCGTTCATTAACCTGAAACCAGTGTGGAGATCTTCTGCACTCAGCAGAAAGCGTGAACAAGATGCGGATTTTCAACACCAACGTCAAATCAGTGCTTCTGTGTGATGGTTCAGAGACTTGGCGCGTTACGAAAGGAATTTCCAATAAACTACAGACATTCATCAACAACTACCTACGCTCGCTACTGAAGATCAGATGGCCAGAAAGAATCAGCAACAAGGAACTCTGGCAACGAACCAACCAAGAACCTATCGATCAACAAATATGTAGAAGGAGGTGGAGATGGATTGGGCATACACTAAGAAAGCCGACTGGAGACATCACGCGTCAGGCACTCGAGTGGAATCCCCATGGGAAGCGACGAGTTGGACGCCCGAAGGTGACATGGAGGATATCGTGCGAGGAGGAAATGAGAGCTTGTGGGCTGTCGTGGAACCAGGTTCAAAAGATTTCGGAGAACAGAGTTCACTGGAGATGTGCTACTGAAGCCCTATGTTCCATTAGAAACCCAAGGGACTAATAATAATAATAACAATTTTGTATTCAAAAGGATAAAACTTAACACGAATTTTTCAGTTTATAAAAAGTGAACAAAAAGGTGGATCGAGTTCCAATGTACTTGTCAGCGGTAGATTCAATCACACGCAAAGGAAAAATATATAGAAATTCAGTAGTCCTGTGAGGGCAACAGAGATTATTTTGATGACATCAGAGAAAAATAAAACACCTTTCACCTAACTCCTGCTACCATCGTTGTCATGAAAGATGTTTACGAAGAAACTACCTTTTTTACCAATACCTTCGCTGCTTCATTTGTTTCTAGAGAACTTGAAAAAGTAAACCACCTAATTCAACCTACACATAGTCAAGTGCCATGCAGTTAGGATGCTTAAGAAAAAAAATACGCATCCTAATTTTGACTAATATTCAGAGCAGAGAGCCACTTTCAGTTTTAAAAGCTGTTTGAGTGTAATTGCATCTTAGTGTATTTACTGAACTCCAACTTATGTGGTTGTTTCCGCTTTTTTTCCACCTTTTAGATTGTATTCATCTGTCATGGAATCACCGTCACTCACTGTTGACCGAAAATCAAGGTACTATTTCCGTAGATAATTAGACCAATATATACAAGCAATATCGAACGGCAATTAGTTAGACTAATATTGTATCCAAGATCCTAGGGTTTCTAGTTATCCGAAGCCTGACAGGAGTTCGAGAACATCAACCTTAAGAAACCAGACAGGTTTCGGACCTGATCGAGGGTAAACTGACCAAATTTTCAGCCTCTAACAGGTTTTAGAGCACATGCATATTTATTATCGTTTGACTAGTGGAAATAGCTGTAGTTTGGCAGACTGGTATTTATACTGGGCGATGATTAAACGTGAAATGAAAATTTGAACCGCGGCCGAATGAAGAATGGCATTCATATTTACCGGTGGCTAACACTTACCATATTTCTTAACCTAAAGGCGGTATTCAACTTCGTCAACCGTGAGGTGTTGTGGTGATGTCTTACTGTGAAGGGGATGTTGAGCAAGTAAATAACGCATATCGAAGCTCTCTACTAGAACTCATGAGGCTGTGTAAGGGCTTATGGAGAGTTTTCATCAGAACGAACAACAACTGGTGGTGTCCCCCAGGGATGACCACCGTCACTGCTTCTAATTAACTTCGTTATAGACATACTAATGGACATAACCTTACGTACATCTGACTTCACAGGGACTGACCTACTTCCTGTGTATCATCTGACTGACTTGAAGTATCCAGTATCCTGCTGAGTAAAAACGTTGACAAAATACGGTCTTCTGAAAGCGTTGAGCAGACATTTGAGTATGTTTGGCTAGCATGCGTTTGTCACCGGTCAAATGGAAGATGATGCTACAGGACTGGTCGGGTGCAACTACTCCCAGTTTAGTGATGTAGAGAGAGAAGTGGTGGGATGTGTCGACCACTTCACTTACTTGGGGAGTTGCACCAACCTGAACGACGTGGCTGCTGACGAAATGTCAGCCCGGATACAAAGGCCTGTTTGGCATTTGCCAACTTGCATCACGTATGATGCCAACTGATGAGATATCCTACTATCTATTAAAGGATGGAAATACTGCGTTGCAGTCCACTCGGTCCTGTTATACGGCTGTAAAACATGACCGTTGGGATTAGAAGACATGAAGTAATTAGAGGGTTTTGATCACAGGTGTCTTCGTTTGGTGGAATCAGCGTGTAGACAATGTTAAGGTGAGGCGAAGGATACTAGGCAAGGTAGGCAAGCCGATCGATGAGATTGTAAACCTGATATAGCCTGGACACGTACTGAGCATCCTGAGCGACCGTTTACCTCAACGTGGAAAGCTGGCGGGAGGGGTTGGATTAGGTTGGAAGAGGTGGTTCAGGGTGGCCAGACCAAGACGTGGCACCAGTCGATGAGATCTCGTACTGATCTGAGCGGTGTTGGGAGATGCACACTACCTGGCTGGTGTTTCTGAGACAACAGATATCAGGGTACGAGGGCTCTTGGTGACATGGTTGAAAATCAGTGACAATGGCTCAGATGTATTCACTTCTTGACATCTTCTAAAGCTTGAAATATTTGCACTATTCGTTATCCTCAGATTGCTTATTCTCTCACACAACTTTGTCTACTTTGATACGTCTTTTTCTATCCTATCTTTAATATACTACTGTGAAGTATGGTAGCTTGAACGGATGCACTTATGTGTGAGGTTTTACGTTGATTTTGTCTGTTTTGTCTGTTTATTGTCAATCTACCTAGTTCGATGTTGTCATGCTTAACAAACTTCTTTCATAAACATGGAAAAAACTGTACATTCTCACCAAAAATATACCTAGTTAACATATAGATTGTCAATCTGTTCTAAAACGGCATAGCAACTGTCTAAGATCTAATATATATGAAATGATAATTCTAAAAAAAATGGCATAAAACATCCCGTTCGAATAAAATGTTTGGTCCTTCCAGTCACTGATCCATTTACGTACCGTTTCGCGGAGTTCCGAAGCCCATTATAATGATGTCTTTAGAAATTAACTGACGGTTATTTCGGTATAAACACATTCTCCTAAATAATAAGGCTTACTATTCTATCTCATGAGGTGATGAAGGTGCTCAACCAACAAAAACAAGCACCGATTACCATCAACGGGAGAAACCTAAAGGAAGTAGTCTCTTTCACCTACCTACCTACCTACCTACCTGCCTAGACAGCATCGTTTCAACTACAGGCGGCACAGGCGCAGACGAGGACGTCAAAGCCAGCCACGATCGGAAAGACAGCAAGACAGGCCTTCATTAATTTAAAATGCATGTGGAGATCTACTGCACTCAGCAGAAAGCGTGAACAAGATGGGGATTTTCAACAATAATTCAGTCAAGCCAGTACTTCTTTGTGATGGTTGAGAGACATGGAGCGTCAGGAAAAGCATTTCCAACAAACTACAGACATTCATCAACAGCTTCCGCCTACGCTCACTTGATACTCAAGACCAGATGGCCAGAAATAATAAGCAACAAGGAACTCTGGCTGTCAACGAACCAACCAACAACCCATCGCCCAACAAATATCCAGAAGAAGGTGGAGATGGATTGGGCACGAACTGAAAAGACCATTTGGGGACATCATGCGACAGGCCCTTAAGTCGAACCCGGATGGGAAACGACGAGTTGGGCGTCCGAGGCGAGGGTGACATGGAGATCATGTGAGGAAGAAATAAAAGCTGATGGACTGTTGTGGAGCCAGGTTCAAAAGACTGCAGAGAACAGAGTAAAATGGAAACGTGTAACTGAAGCCCTATGTTCCACTAGGAACCTAAGTGACAAATAATAATAATAATTCTGTCTCAGACTTAACCAACAATGAAAAGAAACGTAATTTCCGCTGAACAAAACAAAAAATAGACCTGAAAATGATTTTTCTTTTTGCATACCTATAAACAACATTCTGATTGTGCAAGTAACCCAATGCCAATGTGATCTCTGCACCATAGAATTTAGCTCGTTCTTCTGAGAAAACACGATCTCTTTGCAAGTGGAAAAATAATTCACCACCATTCACATATTCCATAACAAAACATAAACAATTCGGTGTTGTAAATGAATAACGCAGTTCAGTCATAAATGGATGCTTGCATTGTTGTAATACACGATTTTCTGTCATTGTATGAACAACTTCTTCTTTCTGTAATTGGATTTTAAAAAATATTTCAGAATCATGTTAAGAAAAAAAAGAATAAACAGTACTCATGATTGTTTCACTGACAATAAGAAAGTAACCATTGTTACACAAGGGTAGGCTATGCAAAAAAAAGTCACAAAAACTAATGTACTAATCAATGGAATGATAACCCATGAAAGTTTTTAAAGGTGACTTCATTTATCATGAAAGACAATGGAACCGTCAATCTAGATGATAGACAGACGAAATCAACGCAGAACCTCGTAGACGAACTACCACTCTTCCCAAAAGTACATAAAAAACAGGTGGATAGAAAAAAGTGACATCAAAGTAGACGAAGTTATGTGACAGAATAAACAATTTGAAGATAACGGATAGTGCATATATTCAAGCTTTAGATGTTAAGTAAAAGGTATATCTGAGCCATCGTGCCCGACTTTCAGCTGTGTCACCAAGAATCCTCCCCAACCACTGATTCCTTTCGTTTCGAGGAACCCAGCCATCCACGCAGTCTAAATTTCTCTACACAGCTCAAACTAACAGTCAGGGACTTCATCGACTGGTGCTCCGTCTTAGTCTTGCAACCCTGAACTGTTTTCCAAACTAATCCAACTTCCCCTAACACGGCATGTTGATGTAGTCGATAGCTCGGCATGCCCACTATATGTCCAAGCCATATCAGTCGACTAAGTCACAACCTCATCTAGGTGATATAATACTGTGTTGAAGTGTCCTCGGTACTAGATATTTGAAGGCGATTAGCAGAAGTACTAGTTCTACTTTATTCCAATAGTCGTGAACGCTTACCGGCAAGAAGTATATGAAACCTCGAAAGTGCTCAGATCTACCTGGAAATTGTATCTCAAATCATTCAAGGCCGATACATATGCAACTTGAAATTAATGAAATAGTCAAACACATGCTGAACAAATAAATTGTTACCAAGACAACCAAAAGCCCCACCATCTTTGGAAGCTGTGGCTCACTGGTCTAGGCGCTCAGCCAATGGGTCATAAGATCACATCCCGCTTTCCTTACAGAGGTCTGAGAAGTCAGGTAGTGTCATTAGTTAACACAAATAGATTATGCTCATTGCGATAATCTTCGAGTAACCAGTATGATAAACAGTGTCTAAGATTCTACGCTCTATAATGGTTAGATACCTAAATTAAGCAAACCCAAGAAAACTACGTAGGTTCTAGACAAGGCTGTGTATATTGACCAGACATTCACCCTTTGACAGGTCTTGAAACACAAACAAAACTTACTGGAGCCCAATATGGCTGTTTTTCTTGACCTTAAGGTGACATTTAGATCCGTTTATCAAGAGGTCTTGTGGTGCACAAAAAAGACGCCCACTAGCTACATTTGTACTTAACTTCGTCAAAGGCATGTTTACGGAAGTCTTCTTCTTTGAGTCTGCAAGGATGGATTTTGTCTCTCTTCCAAACCTCGAATATGCATACGACACGGTCCTCTTAGGTGAAGACGTTGACAAGATGCAATCTTCTAGACACCTTCAGAGACCATTTGAAAATGCTTGAGATACGTTTCTCCGCACACAAATGTGAACTTCTGTTCCAGGACTGGTCTTCGTTGGCTATTTGTTCAACAACAGGGAACGAAGTAGGGAAGTGTGTTGACCACTTCGTTTACTTGGAAAATCAAACCAGTCCAGGCAGGTCACTGACTGACAAAATCTCAGCACGAATACAAAAGACTCGCTTGACTTGTAGTGACTTACACAATCTACAGCATCAACGTGATTTACGACTAAATTGCAGTTGGCTCTGCTCTACCACCTGCTTGGAAAACAAGGCCATTAAAGCTGAAGGGTAAGACAAGATTTCAAGTATTCTATACCCTTTGTCTTCTTAGCATAGGCCGTGCATCGTGAAACTACTACGTAAGTAACGAAAAGGTAGGTGTTAAGCTCTATGTAAAAGGGGTCGTTCATTTCATGACATCTTCAACCTTTATCGACTAAGCTGGCTGAGGCACGTGTCACTGATGCCTATTTACCATCTGCCTCATCGCATAATGTTAGTTGAAGTAGGTCCAGGCTGGATAAAGGTTAGCGGCGGTCAGACTAAGACGTAGCATCATTGCGTGAAGTATTTGACTGTTCATTCGAGGCATATATGGAAAAGTAGGCTTCCCGACTGACGTCTGCAAGACACACTGGGTGATATGACTCAGAATAGATATAAATGGCACAGATCAATCCATACGTTATCTTCATCATAGCGAATCCAGTTCTGGTATAATCTCTTCTTTGTTTTTTTCTATAACTTTCTAACACTTTTCACGACTTTCTTCACCATTTCTCCATCTTTCATTTCGATGCCCCTAAGCTGACATGAAGTATGGCAACTTGAACAGCAAACACCGTAATGTTAGCTATCATTAGGATGATGAGTGACTTGGCCACCCTCTGCAGTTTTATGCAGAATACAGGTAATGGTATGAGAACATAGTCTTCAAAATGATTTAATCACTAGTTAGACGTTGGAAAATAAAGCATCACTTTAAAAGCATAAAATCTTTGAGGACCAACCTATATACTGACTGAATACTATTAAGTTAACAAGTTAAAATAATTATTACTATGATTGAAGATTTGCTTTATTCTCAGCCATAATAGTGTTATCAGGACAGAATTTGCAGAATTGATATTTCACAATTTACTTCTTGTACATTTTCTCATTTATCGACAATAATAATGAAGCAGTAAATCCCCCCCCCCAAAGTAATAACAGTATCATTAACAAGTAGACGATAGCAGCGTTAAGATAACTACTCGCGATTACAAAGTTGATGAGCAGATCCTTCTCAACACACCTTTATTCACATAAGATACAGGATGAACAAGGTATACTTGCATTTTTACACGTTATCAAGGGTACGGATGAAGAGGATTCTCACTCACTGACAAAATAATTGAGGAAAACTGTCTAAAATAACAAATATACCCTTTTACGACCACCTAATGAGGTTTGGTTAGCTAGCAAGTGAAATTAGCCCTTAATCAGATACTGAGACTTACTGCCAATTGCACAAACATGCATGTGGTTGTGAAGTGAGTTTCAACTTCGTATTTGAACTTCATTGACCAACTGTTTGTAACTCCCTGAGGCAAGTTTCCTACGTTTATACCAACGTCTATACAAACTTAATGTAACTATTTCCTTTAAACAGTAAGTGTCAAACAGCACTTAAAACTTTCAACTTGATACCATGGACCCAGGTGAAAAGGAGTCATAGCTTCCCCTATTCCCTTTACAACTTTGTGAGTTATATACTTCGTACCTAGCATTAACTATCTTGTGCTTTATTACCTAATATCTGTTAACATCGTTAGTTCAGACAAATCAACTGATCAAACACTATTGATGGATGTTAGTTGGTTGGAGGCAATGACCAGGAGGACCTGGACCTCGGTTTCGTGCTTGTTGGCACTCGTCAGTAAGGCGTATCTGCAAACTCGACGGAACTGACTTCCCCTTTGAGACATGGACGGAGATCACCCAGTTAGCTCTGAGGTAACGTCGCTGACTATACACTGGGTGACACAGGTTCGAATCTCAAAATGGAAATCAGTTCCCTCGAGGCTGCAGATACCTCTCGCTGACTAATGACAACAATTACGAAACCCAGATCCAGGGCTTCCTGCTCATTGTCTCCAACTAACTAACATCGACCAAAGTTCATCGCGACAGTGGCCAAATTGTAAAATAATAGACAGAATTCGGTCAGCCCTCAGGAACAAGACTATATGAGATTGGTTACTCACTGGTGACCAGTCAATATCAGCAATATTGGTGCTTTCCTAAAGTAGCTGTGGTGATATTACGAAGAATGCACTACACATACAAGTATAATATACTAAAAAGGTGTAACGCTTATTATTATTATTATTATTATTAGTATTAGTATTAGTATTAGTATTATTATTAATCCCTTGGGTTCCTAGTGTAACATAGGGCTTCAGTAGCACGTCTCCAGTGAACTCTGTACTCTGCAATCTTTTAAACCTGGCTCCACGACAACCCACAAGCTCTCATTTCTTCCTCACACCATCTTCTGCATACCACCCTCGCCTCAGACGCCCAACTCGTTGTTTCCCATTTGGGTTCCACTCGAGCAACTGGCCTGACACGTGATGTCCCCAGTCTCCTTTCTCAGTGTATGCCCAATCCATCTCCACTTCCTTCCACAGCATATTTGTCGAGCGATAGGTTCTTGCTTCGTTGGTTCGTCGGCAGCCAGAGTTCCTTGTTGTTTATTATTTCTGACCACCCATCTGAACTTCAGTAACGAGCCAACGTAGGCAGTTGTTGAGGAATGTCTGTAGTTTGTTGGAAATCCCTATAGTAACGCGCCAAGTGTCTCAACCATCAAGCACTAACTTGACTGGATTAGTATTGAAAGTCCGGATCTTGTTCACACTTTATGCTGAGTGCAGATCTCCACACTGGTTTCAGGTTAATGAACGCCTGTCTTGCTGTATTTCCGATCGTGGCTGACTTTGACGTCCTCGTGTGTGCCGCCACCTATAGCTGAAACGGTGCTGCCTAGATACGTGAAAGAGGCTACTTCCTTTATGTTTCTCCCGTTGATGATTGCAGCTTGTTGTTGTTGGTAGTGGCGTTGGTTGGGTATCATCATATCTGTCTTCTCTACGTTCACTTGAAGTCCCGTCTCCCTTCGCTGTCCTGCCTCTTCTGTCAACTTGTTGGATTTTGCTTGTAGATCTTCGAGTTTGTGTGACATTAGACACAAGTCATGACTGGCGAAATCCAAATCTTCTAGGATCTTTTTCCCGGTCCAGCGTATCCCCCTCTTCTCGCTCCTCACTGTTTGCTGCATTATCCAGGCCACCACAATCAAGAAGATCATGGGTGATAGTAGACAGCCTTGTTTCACTCCTGTCCACTTCAAAGGCATCACTGAGCTTTCCATTGTGAATTACTTGGCGTGTGGCGTCTTCATATAGTTGTTGAATGAGGTTGATAAATGTTTGTGGTATTCCATAGTGTTGGAGGCATCTTATACCTGATAGGCATTTTGTTCAGTGTATGAATGTATACAGCTAAGAAATTTCTTACTAGATTCGTTTACAAAGCATATTAGCAAACAGGATGCATGATGCAAACAATATTTTATAAGCTTTAACTTACTTCAATTAGTACAGATTTCTTTAGTATTTTCATAGCATAAAATTGACCTGTTTCATTTTCTTGACACAAGATAACTTTCCCGAAAGTGCCTTTGCCCAAAACTTTTAAAAGTCGAAAATCATTAACAGAATAACGTTTCACAGGTCTACAGTGTAATAAAAACATATTTAGATACATTTATAAAAAGATGTTTGCATAAAATGTGAAGCTAACGGTATGCACAATACACTTAGTCAATAGTTTCTATGCAGAAGAAAACCAAGCAGTTTCTGAAACAATAGCTAAATACTGACTTCACATAACAAACAGTAAAGAAACAATAATAAAAGGAAACAGTCATTAATAGTGTGCCATAGAGAAACATTAAAGTAGAAGCAGTTACTTTTATTATACTCAAAAGATGTTACTGAAGATCTAGTTTCGCAATAAATCATGAAGCAGAAATCACCGACATCAAAACGTGTGAATATATAGAGGCGATTTTTCAGTGTTTATGACTTTGGTTGTGGTGAAGTTTAGATGTGACCAAAAACAATATCTTGTTGGCCGGACACTCTTCTCCATTATCAGTGGTAGGCATTTATACATTATAATACATCAGATTAGTTTGCTCACATTTTGAAAAAGACCCTCATAAGACTGACAGATGCCTGCACCTGCAATTAACCCTTGATGGCGAATCGTTGGAAGTCATCGAAAAGTTTGTGAACCTGGGTAGGTGAGTGAGTGTTGGTGGGAATGTGACTAACAAAACTTTCAACCGTATATCGAAAATCAGAGTGGCATGCGTCAATCTGGGTCACCTTTGGCGCCATTGTCATGTTAACCTTGCCGTAAAAAGTTGGGCATACAATGTGTCAGCGCAGGCAGTTCTACCCTACATCTGTGAAACCTGGCCTCTCAAAGCTGAGGATGTCTGACGGCTATGTAACCTTTACTACCGTTGTTTAAACAGGATTGCCGACATCAGGTGGAAACATCATGTAAGTGATTCTCAGGTGAGGCGGCATGTGTTTGAGAGTGATAGCGATCATCTTGAAACACCGGTTTCGGTGGAGCTGACATGTGTTGCGTATACCGTCCCAACAGCTTCCACACTGATCTATTCGCTTGCTCTGGAAGTAGTTGGACGAGTAGAAGTGATAGCCAACGTATGACGCGGCGCCGTAGGTTTAGGGATAATTGTGTTCGGTTAGCATCCGTAGGTACCTCACAACTCACTGGATGGTGTAAGGGAGATAGGTCGACTCAGTTGCTTGATATGATAGTAAACATGGCTCAGAAGCGAAACCAGTGGCGATCATGTTTCACTTTTCTTGATTTTCCCATAAGGCAAAAGTGAGATGGAAGTAATGAATTCCTCATTAAATTTATCTTTGGGTTTGTTTTTTATATTCCACTTGTGTTTCAGTCGGCATCCCGTCTTCCACTTTTTATCTCCTTGACTTTTCTCTAACATTTTGTGTGGCCCATTTCCTGGTGCCTATGTTTCGCCAGGATCACATTTAAATAATGGTAATAAATGTATGTTGCTGAAAAATTCGTGAAGACCATTTTAACCATGGAAACACAAATGGCTGAATGACAATTGAAAACATGAATACGCATTAGTGAGGGAAACTTGTATCAGGGAGTTGTAAAACGTCTGTCAATAAAGTTAAAACGCAGGATTGAAACCCACTTCACAACCACATGGATGCCTGTCCAGCTGGAAATAAGTCACACTAACTCAATGAGAGCTAATCTTACTCTGGTTGCCCAAACGTCGGTAAGTGGAGCAATATTCGGACCTACGGAGATGTGATTCATTGGTTTGGGGAGATTGCTTTCAACCAGTGAGTCACAGGTTCAAACACCGCTTCACCTACAGAGTCTTGGGCAACCAGGTAATAACTTCAACCCTCACACAATAGGTGTGGTTTATTGCCTACCGAACGAACGTGCACAAAGTAGCTCAGCAGATTTCGACTCCATTTATGTGACACATTAAAAGTTCATTCCATAAGCCAATGAACCAAAGCTTCAAGGGGTGCTTTGATATTTCACCGACAAATGATCTTATACAGACAGAGAAAAAACATTTCCAGCATAGGACCTGATAATACCGTGAAGTGATTCAAGCAGTCAGCAGTCAGCAGTCAGACTAAGAGGAAAAACGGTACACAAACTGGTCACCAATGAACAGCTGATGTAGCTGTCTAGACCATAGTACGGTAGCCAAGTCTACCGATGAATGATTTCCACCATCTAACGTCTTAATAAAAGTTTGTACAGAGCGATGAGCATGAAGACAAGAAGAGGAAGAAGAAGTAAACAACGAAATGGGATAAAAAAAAAAGGATTAACACGAGAATAAAGCTTGAATTCATCTATGCTAGTGAGACTAATTTTAGGCCATATCGCAAACGAACTTCAACTATCAGTGTCCATAGTCACACAAGCCACAGCCAGAAAACCTACATTTCTCTTCACGGTCTAGGTCAGTAGTCAGAATTCTTGAACTGGTACCATAAAATTTTTTTTCCCAACCTCAACTTATTTTAGTACAACTAAGATACAGAAGATAGTAATTTGGTATACTGAATATCCTAGTTACCTCGGTATGAGTCGTTTTTATAATATATACAGCCTACAATGCCCAAACCGGATTGCCCACTATCTAAACAAACCTTTATGTGTATCACATCACTTAACGATTTGTAATCAAACGGTGCTAATGATAATCACTGTTTGCTTAGAGGAAATTTGCCACCATGGTTCAGTGACCTAAATATTGAACGTAAGTCCACAGGACCCCAGGGATTTAAAGCCTTCCTACTTCATTTAAGTACCAGAGTAGTACCACTAAGCCCTAAACATAAATGTAAGATTTTTATGTTGGTTTTTAACTACAAGTAATTTAAAACAGTTCGAATCCTGAAACCGCTTTATTAAAACTCACCTTTGGGGAATATCAACAACCACATTATCGGATAAATCTACATTATGCACAGATATTGGTTGCTCACATGACGATCTGAGTCTGTTGGCTACACTTTGAATTGCGCCAAGCCAATCATTTCGTTCTACATCTGTTTCGACAAAGAATAAACGTTCGACTACATTAGTCCACTGTAAACCACGAATGAGAAACGTGTACGGTTTCGGTTTATTTAAACAAATGATTTGACAACCGCGTACAGTAAAATTGTTTAAAGGTTGTGCCATGTCATCCTGAAAGCCAAAGGAAATATGAATTGTTAAAATATGGTAGTAGACTATATTTTTTTTTCTGAATCCGGTGTACATAAGAATTAAGGCAGACTTTCATTTTATGCTAAATTGTCATCGAATAAATCAGTTTAATAAATCGAGATAATTATGAGATCATAGTACTGTTAAAAATTCAAGACTTAATCGCAAAAGTTAAAATGTTCGGTTGACATATAATACAGTTTATCAACCTATTAACTAGTAGCAATTTCCAACCAATAAATCATCATATCACAAAAACACATTCATTCTGAAAACTTTGGATGGAAAACTCAATTTATGCAAAATCAAAATCGTGATGCTCAACTCTGATCGAAAAGTAACTAGGCAGAACATATAATGCTTCTTGAGCCCCTCACATTGCCTACTTTCTGAGGTTACACAAATGAGGCTAACTTATAATTGAAGAAAAGTATATACAAACACCACGTAGGAAATAATTCACAGTGGATGAATCAACTTACACTCTCAGTATTCAGTCATGGTTGAATTTCACTTTCATTAGAAGCTTATTATATTGTTATATCTACTCATCTAAACTGAGAAATGAATAACATTTTCAGAGAAGTTTACGAAGTAACAGAAAACCCTTCAACAGCAAAAAGTATTGAAAGTCAACAAGACATAAAATCAACGTGGAACCCTGCATAAAAGTGTATCTGATTCAGTCGCCATCCTTCACAGCAGCATTCCAAGAAAAAGTGGGTCGAAAAAGTTATATTAAAGTAGGCGAAGATGTATGGCGGGATCTCAAAAAAAAAAGATTCGTGGAAATACTTAAACATCAGAAAACATCAAGGAGTGAATACATCTGCACCACTGACTGGTTTTCAGCCATGTCATTAAAGGTCTCCAACAATCACGCTAGGTTATGTACTAAGCCATATGACTGTGATGATCTATGATACTATCCCACTGCCAACAACAGAGTAGTTGGGATGTAACTCGAACCAGGAACTTATTACTTGGACAGTGAGAGTTCCAACCAGTAAGCCATGTTACCCCCTAACATTAGTCCACGAAATTTGAGAATTATTAATATTGAGTCTATGTAACAACAAAAAGTAATCATAGAATTCCAACAGAAAGGTTTAAAACCAGCTTTTAGGTATTTTAGGTATTTTTCATTTTTATTTTGACAATCTTTCATTGCTAAACTTTAAACGTGTACTGAACCCAGCCATGAAAATTTAACAAACAGCCCAATAGAACTATTTGGTATCGAGTTATAGGCAAGCACAAAATCAATATAGGACCAAAATGTTATTTCACAGAGATGGATACATCGTGAAAACAGTGAGCGTTATACAAACAATACGGCTTCATAGAATCCAATTACAACATGTTTTATTTCTATCTGGGGGTTTGTTGGTGTTTATTAGTTGATTTTACGCTGGAATTCATCATGGACTGACATCAGTTGGAGGTAGATTGGAAACCCGGGAGAATTGAACAGCTGTTCCGCCCTAGTACGGGACTCATCAGCAGTGCGCATCCATGACCCCGCCAGGGATCGAACTCAGGACCTTCAGGTTCCGTGGTCAGCAAGTCACCATTGAGCCACTGGGGTCGGAATCTAATGGTTCATATTTCCTATTTCTGTCAGTTCACGATATAGCGCGACCTATATCTAGTGTCAGCGTTCAGTAACTGTCCTCATGTTCAACTTGGTATTATTTGTTTATCATACATTTTTATCAGCAACCTGGGATCAAAATGATTCCTTTTGGTATAGTATGGGTATAACGTTAAAATATTTGAAGAATAGTGACCAAGCGGCATTAAGAATAAGTATGTACCTGTTTGCACACTTCGAATGGTCTTGTTAGGTGAAGACGCTGACAAGATGCAGAGTCTTTTGAACACACTGAGTGGGAATTTGAGAATGTTTGGGATGCGTTTCTCACCACCAAAATGAAAATTGTTGCTCCAGGATTGGTCTTCAACGGTGCCTCGGCTAACAACAGAGAGTGAGTGTAGTGATAGAGTGTGTTGACAACTTCACTTACCTGGGAAGTAGGATTAGCCCTGATGGCTCAGTGACTAATGAAATCTCTACACAAATAAAAAAATGCTCGATTGGCTTTTGCCAACTTACGCCACCTGCGGCGCCGTCGTGATATCCGATTGTCTATTAAGGGTCACGTGTACTGCACCTGCACAGCAGTTTGCCCTCTTCTACTGTACGGCTGTGAAATATGGCCATTCAAGGTAAAAGATATGAGAAGGCTTCGGGTGTTTGACCAGCATTGCCTTAAAAGTGAAGGCCGTATTCCGTGGTGTCACCACATGAGTAACACAGAAGTCAGGTGTGGAGTTTTAGGGGTGGAGAAGTCAGTTGACACGGTTGTGAACCTTCATCGACTGAGATGGTTTGCTCTGACATGTGTTACGTATGCCTAGTCTCCGCCTATCTCGCCACACAATGTTCGCCGAAGTAGGTTCAGGCTGGAAAAAGGCTCGAGGTGGCCAGACTAAAACATGGCATCAATGTGTGAAGTCTCTGACTGTTGGTTTGAGCCATGTGGGGCGATGCAGACTAGGTGGTTTGGGTAGGCGGGACAAGAGAAACCAGTGGTTGGAGACTCTAGGAGATATGGCTCAGAACCGATATCAGTGGCGCGGATGTATACACACATTATCCTCATCTTAACTACATATCGAATCTCGTCATTTTCTCATTCTTCCTTTCTCTTATTTAGTACTTTATATTCCTTTTGACTGAATTTCCTCTTCTTCATCTTCCACTTCGCTGCCTTTTTACTTGATGTACTCATTTGAGCTGTGGCAACTCGGACCGTTACACACTAATGCCTGGTACTATGCTGATGGATGATCATGATGATGACACATTTAGAAGTACAAAGGGAAATAAGTATCTTGGCTAATATTTAGAAAGACATGTTTATGTAAGTTGTCAAAACAGATGGGAAGATATAGTTTATTGGTTTCAATATTCGACTTCCAACTAGTAAGTTGTAAACCCGTACCTGGTACGAAATACTGCATTTTTCCTAGCATGATAAAGTAGGCTGTATTGTAACGCCAATACTTAATATCCATAAATCAGCTAACATGTATCGCTAAACTGAAACCGATACTATACTTTATAAAATGTATAATAATCAGTTGATATCACAGGAGTTAAAAGTGTTAATCGTCCCAAACTAGACGACTGAGTGTAGCCCAAATATGACCAGGATGTCAAAAGAACGAAACCTGACTTTTACAAGATGAGGAAAGATATCAGGTAATACATAATATAAAGACGCCGAATATCACTTGTTCTTAATTTGATCATACTGTGAGTCGATTCACATGACATAATTCAGAAACAGTTTTAAAACCGGTCAATAAATGAATAACTACATTCTTGGAACACAATATACCACAATAAACCACATAACAAACTACTTAACGAGATATACCTTCATCTAAACCTGTGTTTTTGAATCATGCATCATCAGTTGCGTTTAGCTGTCAGCAAAAATGATTTAACTACTCGCTAATGACATAAGACAACTCAACTCGGTACAGGTTTGTGAAGCTGTGGTTTAGTGGTTTATTGTTATAATTAGAATACAAACATGGTACAGCAAAGGCACCAAGAAATGCACCATATAAAATAGTATAACAACAATGTGAAGACATAAGCGATGGGAAGTGGATAAGAAAGAAAAACAATAATAATAGGATGATTAGAAGGTCAGTCCAGTAAGGCACATTCAAAACAAAATACTTATTACTTTTCAGCAACAGAAAATAGGAGGCAGCTACGGCATAACTGCCACTGGTTTCCATTCAAAGCCATATCTGATAACTTCTCAAGCCACTGGGTTGCGTGATCCCTCGAATCTTAACCAGAGTCGCGATGCACCAACGGATGCCAACCCAATACAACTATCCTTCATCCCACGGCACCGACTAATACACTGACTACCCCTCCGCTTCTTCCATCCAGTCCGAGGATCAGAGTTAGTAAACAATGAACGGTATGGAAGCCGTTTGGACAACATGCGCAACACATTTTCAAGCCACCAAAGCCGATGTTTCCAGATGACTTCCCTTAGTGAATAACGATCTCCATCATATCCAAACACACACGCTGTTGTACCTCACAATTATTTAAATGTTGCCACCGGATACGAGCAGTCCTACGGAGACAACGATGATCGAACACGCAGGGTCGTCGCATATCCTCGGCTCGGATAGGCCAGGTTTGACAGGCATCCAGCGGAACTGCTCGCATCGAAGCGTTGTGAACTCGACCTGTTACGGTCGAATTAACGTCGTAACAGCGCCAAAGGTGACCTAGATTGATGTATGCCATTCTGGATTTCGATATGCGGTTGAAAATTTCACCATTCACACCTCCACCATCACTCAAACAACTACTTAGATATACGAACTTTTCGACTACTTCAAAATGGCTCGCCATCAAAAATGAGTGCAGACACAGACTACTACTAACCTTGCAATAGTATTTTGCACGTCGATGGTGCAAAGTAGATAGCATACTTGCAGACACTAACCGCCAACTAATTAAGTGCGACTTGAGCAGCCTGTGTTAGCTCACAGTTACGACAATATCGTCCGTATATTCAAGGTCGAATAGCCGTTCTCCGGGTAGTAGGTCTACAGTATCATCACACACCTCCTTCTGAGCTGTCTCAAGAATGTCATCGATGGCAAAGAGGAATGGAGAAATCGGGCAACCCTGACTAACCCCACTACTGATCTGGAACAATGAAGAGAGGTGGTTGTATGCCCTCATTCCATCTGAGGTGTTATCATATAAGGCTTTCAAGATGTGAATAAATTTCTCCAGCACGCCCCTCTCCAACAGACAGTTCTAAAGTACAGCTATGTTCAATGAATTGAAGGCAGCCTTAATGTCAAGAAACACGATTGTTGGCGTGCAATACGTGTGGCGATGTTCAAGCATCTGGCGGAGGGTGAACACATGATCAATGCATCCATGACCTGAACAAAACTAGACCTGCTTCTCGTCAATCATGTTTTGCGGAGCCTGAGAAGGATGATAGCAGCCAATATTTTCAAAAGCGACTAACACCAAGATGATTGTCACATGTATTAAGTAGACCGTTTATAAAGATGGGCACAATAATGGGTTCATTCCAGAGTGATGGAACACTCTCAGTCTGCCATACCTCAAACAATCTAGTCAGTTCCCCGACTAGAGTCATTTCTCCATCCTTAAAATAAAGCCGGGGGTTAGTTGTCTGAACCGGCTGCCTTGTGACGTTTCAAAACTTGGAGTTCCTTATGGACCTCCACTTCTTTAGGTGGGTCAATGTTAACTGACCATGGAGTACTATATACCGAAGCTGACACTGCTGGAGCCGTGGGTGAGTTAAACTACTTTTCGAAGTGCTCCTCCCAGCGTTCCCAGAGTGAGAATTGTTTATCGGCGTACCATCTATCTCACAGATCGTCTCACTGCGAACTGGCTTCTTTCTGCCAGTGGCTCGGAAGAGCTGGAACAGCTCCTAACTATTGTCAGATGCAGCTGCCGCTTCCATTTCGCTCGTGCGTTCAGATCATCAAGTCTCACGGCGTTTGCGTAAGCGTTGTGCAATCTTTCGCATAAGAGACTTACGCAAACCATTGTACTTGCTAGCCCCCGGAATGGTCCGACGGGAGTCAAGAAATTGCAGGCAGCTCTCAGATACCCAGTGTTTATTAGTGGGACGTTCTTCCAAGTCGCAAGAGGCTTTACTCGCCATTTTCATGGCGTCTTGCAAGTGCAGTCAACGCTCGTCTACACTTTTGGGAGGGGTGGGAGCTAGCCTTAAATCCAGCTCAGATTGGTATTTAGCTGCAATGTTAGATGCAACTAATTTGCTTGCATCGACCTGTTTAGGACGACGATTTTGATGACCATCTGAACGCAAGACGAGCTTAGCAAACACTAAGGTATGATCCGAGTCCAGGCAAGTACACCATATGGAGTGGTTCCCTGGTTCAGGTAGTCGACAATCAGCCAGTGTCATGGGTGTGAATCTCGGATCACGTATTGAACTCTAGCCAGCCAGGTAGTTCCAGCTATCACACAACAATTGTGGCTCATTCCCCCACCGCAAGAAAATGTACAAGGGTGCAGAGTGAGTTTCCTACTATATTTATGCGCTAGACTATGGCTTACACTTATTGTTACGGTTTATGATGCTATTCGGTTACTAGGGACCTAGTTTATAGGGCGACGTTTAAATCTCCAGAAGCCACTGCTTGCAGGAATGTTACACATTTGCAGTGGCCAGTAGTGAATGACTATAAATGCCACTAAGTGTATATATGATTCGGTCTGTAACTTCAAATGCCAATTTATTAAAATCGCTCCATTTAGCAGACCAAGCCAAATATAGTGTTGTAATTATGGAAAGTACACCTTACTGAATCACAAAAAACTGCCTACAGTTACCAGAACTTTTTCAAATGCAGTCATTTCACTCAAAAAATATTTATTATTAGTCTTACTGCAAAACAAAAATAGAAAGATAAATCAAAACAAAGCATCTACAAGTCTATGTAATGAATGTTGAGTAGCATTAATTGTCCAAGCGCTACTAATAACAACTGGCCCAATAGGTAATGGGATTGGAACGCACGACTTCCTGACTGATGAACAAAAGTTGCTATTACATAAATATTCATTTCTTTTCGTGTGTCTTTTATCCGAAAAAAGAGAAGTTAAGATTGAATGTGGTTTGGGATGAACAGCAGAAACAAATAAGTGTACAGAGTTATAAAAACATTTAATACCGATAACTACCAACTAACTTTAGGTAGACTTTTATATCCGTAAAATGTTCCATCTTCTCGTAATTTGAAATATCTACGGCGCCAGTTTTTAATGTGTTCACCACGTTTCATAAGCCATCCTTCTTTTACAATTTTCCTGGTTAGTGGTAAGGAAACTGGTCGGCATTGGAGCATCCCTAAAAGATACGGTGATACGCGTGGCGTCATATAGTCGAAATAATTGTTTGCTGACAAATTTCGAAATTCACTGTTTTGATTAGTGATTAAAGGTTGATAGGCATTGTGAAAACTGGTGAGAATACTTGGGCCATTGGATTGAAAATTCTGTCCTTGAGAAGCAGAAACATTTTGCACTGCAGCTGACATTGAAACTGATTCATGTTCAGATTGACTATTTTCGTTATTCTTCGACGTACCAACAACAGGATTTCGAGAATAATTGCACAAGATCTCCATCACCAAATTAACCTACAACACAAGGAGAAACATGAAGTACAGAACAAATTCAATTTTCATCATGATATATATCCATTAACGACTACTGACCAACAGCGCCATAGCAATAATACTCGTCAGTTTAAATCAACCAACCATAGCTGCAGAAAAAACGTACAATCATTTCAGTCAATGTTGACCAGCCTATGATAGGCATACCAACAACGGAGAATGTTGGTTTTCGAGTAGTAACCAAACGAATAATTCATCTCCATTAAGCAAGACATCTTCCCATTGCTTCCGCATAACTAACTTGATATTGTTACCGAACCTCGCAAACTGTTTCACAAGTTTTCGAAACTTGAAACAGCTTTGCTGGACTAAAGAGATGGGTTACAAAAAACGACCACCACCCATATAAGTTAGAAACGCGTAATAAAGCTGTAGTTTATCACTCTGTATATTCAACTTTCAACAACTTGGTCACGGGAGATGTGGCTCATTGGCTGAAGTACTCGACTTTTAAGCAGTTCTGTTATCAAACCCACTAAATTTACTTCAAGCTGGATCAACCTGGCAGTATAGTAAGCCCTCACACAATGTGTGACCTACAGCCCAGTACATAAACCTGTACTGGGTTAAGCCGTACTGATTATTAATCCATCGCATCACGAGATCAACCGTCACAATTGCCAAAGTTCAGTAAGCGAAGTGGCTTGTTTATTTACACACAAAAAACGTAGCACAGCTTAGCAGCCATGCACTTTTTCATGATAAAGCTTTACTGTAAACTAATTTTACTATAGCCTTGATAGAAGAATGAAAACTTGCAGGATATTTAAAAGAAACGGTCAATTAACTTAACAGGTCCAATACACACGTTTTAGTCATCACCATCCAAAATCTTTATATTGATGAACACTAAACACGTCAAACGTACGAATATCAACTGCGTATTTCAGCTTTCGCTGGTTACCGCACGATGTCCTTAAAAGTAAATACATTTAGAGTGTAACATTGCTTTAATTACAAAATGCCTGCCAAGTATATGTAGCAATCGCATCGGACGGCAACACTTTAGACGTATAAGCGAATACATCGTCATATAAGCTGTTTTGCAGCTGAAGCATATAAAAGTTGAAACGCATATTCTATCAAAATATGGGAAGCCACCCCAACTTCGACTTCATCTCTTAAACTTCCGTCTCCTTGCAAAAACTTCATTTGGCTGTAATATGTTCTTGATCTAAAAGTATTTCCATAGCACTAACAGATGCCTATGTATGGAAGTTTATGGACCTACAAATATTGCGTTCGATCGCAATGCATAGAAAGAGATTTGAACACGTACATAAAGGCACATAATGCAAAAGCCAACCGAATTACGTAGAATTGGTATCATAGGCACCAGAGATGATCACAAGAGGTGAGTTACAAAGGCCAAATGTATCAAACATCAGTAGTGCGAAGGCAGGGAACCGATAGTTTTTGATCTCTCACGTTTGACCAAGCTGTCTGTGGATCTGAGTACTTAAGAGTCGTTGTCTCATAAAATCTGCTATAGCTACAGATTACTCTAAGTTTGAGAACAGCTTGTGTCACCGCAACTAAAGACTAACTCACAAATGACAGTAAGGAACGCTTGAGTTTGGAGATCACCTAGTTAGCACCTTTATATGGTGTTATCAACGAATTCCTAGGGATGCATGCTGACTGACAGCTAAACACTAACATTACGTGATATTCAGTATCGGTAATTGATAAGGAGTACCAACCTGCCAGACCAATATCCCACAGTATTAACACCGACCTAAACACAGGACAAGGGCAGGTCAGGTACTCATATTTGAGGTAGTGAAACAAAAGTCATTCTTACCACTAAAGGATACATATCAACAAACAACAAAGAAGAGTTTATTTGTTATTTTTGATTACATTTGGAGAATATGCAATGTTACAAACAGTGAAAATGTATTACCTCTTGTAATGGGTACATCCAGTTTTAGTATCAACCGTATGAGTAACGCAAATAGCCAGGTAATGAAATTTGGCAGTGATATCTCTTCGTCCGACTCCTCCTATCTGACTTCGTAGACTTAGTAATCCAATATCCAATATTGATAGTGCGAGCGTAGAAAACTGGTAGTTTTTGATCTCTCGCATCTAGTTCTTAGGGCTTGGTTCCAGCTGTTCGGTTTACTCCTGCACTGGACGAGGAAATACCCTCTGCTTTCTTGCTTTTAGCTTCGGTGAGGTGGATGTTTTGTGGGTTAGTAGGTTGTAATTTGTAGAGTGATTAGGGAGCTACGGGTTGCTGGGAAGTTTAGAGAACTGCCGTGACTCCTGTCTGTGTAGGTACCTGAAAGAGAATAGTAAGGTAGTGGTAAAGGAATGAAGAGAGAATAAGGAAGAGAAAAAAGAAAAAGAAATATAATATAAGGAAGAGAAAAGGGAAGGAGAAGAAAAGGAGGGGTGAAAAGAGAAATGAGAACGAAAGAAAAGTATTTGGGAATTGCCGAATGGTCGCGTGGGTTTGGTTCCTACAGAAGAATTAGTAGGTAATGTGGGTGTATTAAGGAGAGAGATAGTGAGTGGTAGTTAGGAGGGAGTTGGGGGCTAGAGAGGTTGGTGACTACCTGAGTACGTCCGTGGTAGTCCATGCGAGGTGACATAACTGTCTAATCGCCTCTTGAAAGAGTCGATTGAAGGAGCTATAACGATGTGTCGCGGTAAGGCATTCCATAAAGCACATATCTTAGGGAGAAAAATTTGGACCTGAGTGTGGTGTTGGCTCTCTGGTGTGCTATCTTAATGGGGTTTCCTCGTGAAGATCGTTCAGTTGCAGGCAAAATTGATTTGTTTGCATGGTCTGCCTGATGGGCGATCTTGTATGCCATAATGAGGTCACCCCTTTTCCTGCGATAACCCAAGGTAAATAGGTTGAGGTGTTTAAGTCTTTCAGGATACGTCTTTCCCCTTAGCCCCACAACTGATTTTGTTGCAGTTCTTTGTATTCTTTCAAGGAGATTAGAGTCTCTCTTGAGTGTTGGAGGAGCCACCGTATTGAAGACCTCTAGGTGCGGCCGCACGTAGGATTTGAAAATGGTGAGGAAGAGTTCGGGAGTGAGGGCGCCAAGCTGTCTACGCAGAAAGTGTAGAATGGCGTTCGCTCTGGTTGTCATACCTTTGTAGTTGGAGCTGGTGTCCAAGGTGTCGGAGAAGTTGAGCCCCAAATCTTTCTCCATGGACACTCTGGTGATAGCACGGTTGCTCAACATGTACTGGAAGTCGGTCGTACTTGCCTCATTTTTACTGATGTGCATTACTTTGCACTTTTCCAGGTTGAAGCTCAGGCCATTTTCCGACGACCAGAGCTCGAGTTGCTGCAAGTCCTTTTGTAGTGCTGCACATCGGCTTCTTCGTTTACCACCCTCCAAATTTTTATGTCGTCAGCGAAGAGGAGGATGGGTGAGGATATTTTGTCTGGCAGATCGTTGACAAACAGGAGGAACAGAAGCGGTCCTAGGATTGCTCCTTGGGATACTCCTGACGTCGAGGGTCTCCACTCCGACCTTATTCTGTTCACTTTAGTGCAGAACTGCCTCCCTTCCAGGTACTCCTTGAACCAAGAGAGTAGGGGTCCACTTATACCAGCTGACATGATCTTGTGAAGCAGTACTGTGGGTGGGACACTGTCAAATGCTTTGGCTAGGTCGAGAAATACACCATGTACAGGTTTTCTATTATCCCAGCTTTGTGTCCAGTCGTCCCAGGCGGTTAGTAAGTTGGTGGCACATGAGCGACCACTACGAAAGCCGTGCTGAGCAGTATGGACAGTGTTTTCCTATTGAGGAATTCCCAGATGGTGTCAGCTACCAGGCTTTCCAACACTTTCGACACAATAGGGAGTAGGGCAATCGGCCTGTAGCTGCCAGGGCTTTTTCTGTCTCCTCCCTTGAAGATGGGTGACAAGATGGCGCTCTTCCATTCTTTAGGGAGTTTGCACGAGTCTATTGAGTGCTCAAAGAGGTTGCGAAGTGGTTTGGTAAGCACCTCGGCGCAGTTTTTCAGAACCACTGGTTTCAGGTTATCGCAGCCAGGGGACTTGCCCGGACGTAGCCTAGATAGCTTCTCGAACACCTTTTTCTCTGTAATAGAGACGTGACAGAGGTATTCGTTATTTGCGACCTGGTCGGTGTCGTGGCGAGTCGGTGTGGATCTTGTGTCAGTGCTGAGTTGGGCTTGGAAGTGTGAGCTCAAAAGCTCGGCAATCTCTAGACTGCTTAGCACACTCCCGTCATGGCCTGTGACAAGATTCACTCCCTTACTGGTCGACTTTCTTCTTGACATGAAGCGGTACAGGTTTTTGGGGTTGCTTTGTAACCTCGCTGCCAAGTTTGTTTGGTAGGAAAATCTGTCGTTACGCACTCTAATGTTACAGAGATTGCGAATCCTTTTGTAGTTCAAGAAGTCAGACTCCCTGCGTGATGTACGCCACTTGAACCAAGCCTGCTTCTTGCTCCGGATAAGCCTCTCTGTCCCACGCTTTAACCATGAGGTTCTCATTGATTGTCTGTGTGTTACTTCTGGTACACTGTGACTGATGGCCCCAGTGATTATTTTCTTCACCTCCAACCAGTGTTCATCTATTGTGAGATGAGTCCAGTCCACTGGCCATGATGCATTCATGAGGTAGTCCCTCATGGTCTCATAGTTGGCCTTGCTGTAGCAAGGGAAGGTGTTGGGCGTCTCCAGTTGCAGAGCCTCCCTAGTTATCATGGAGAAGGTGATTACAGCGTGGTCACTGAGGCCAAGGGGAGGTTGGATGCAAACATCCTCAATGAGAAGTTCATCGTTCGTCAGAACGTAGTCAAGGCGCGATGCGTTTCCGTTAGGTCCCCAGCGTGTAGCATCACCCACTTTCTCTGAGAGGCCAGCAGTCTTAATTGCATCCTTCAGCTTCTGATTGAAGGATCTGATGCGTCTCCCTTCCGTCTCGAAGAGGATGGACGGGGTGTTGA